GGGGTGAGTGTGTGTGTGTGGGGGTGAGTGTGAGTGAGTGGAGGGGGGGTGAGTGTGTGTGTGTGGGGGTGAGTGTGAGTGAGTGGAGGGGGGGTGAGTGTGTGTGTGGGGGTGAGTGGTGGGGGGGAGTGAGTGGTGAGTGAGTGGAGGGGGGGTGAGTGTGTGTGTGGGGTGAGTGTGAGTGAGTGGAGGGGAGGTGAGTGTGTGTGTGGGGGTGAGTGTGAGTGAGTGGAGGGGGGGGTGAGTGTGTGTGTGGGGTGAGTGTGAGTGAGTGGAGGGGGGGTGAGGGTGTGTGTGTGGGGGTGAGTGTGAGTGAGTGGAGGGGGGGTGAGGTGTGTGTGTGGGGGTGAGGTGTGAGTGAGTGGATGGGGGGGTGAGTGTGTGTGTGGGGGTTGAGTGTGAGTGAGTGGAGGGGGGTGAGTGTGTGTGTGGGGGTGAAGTGTGAGTGAGTGGAGGGGGGGGTGATTGTGTGGTGGGGGTGAGTGTGAGTGAGTGGAGGGGGGTGAGTGTGTGTGTGGGGGTGAGTGTGAGTGAGTGGAGGGGGGGTGTGAGTGAGTGGTGGGGGGGTGAGTTGTGTGTGTGGGGGTGAGTGTGAGTGAGTGGAGGGGGGGTGAGTGTGTGTGTGTGGGTGAGTGTGAGTGAGTGGAGGGGGGGTGAGTGTGTGTGTGTGGGGTGAGTGTGAGTGAGTGGAGGGGGGGTGAGTGTGTGTGTGTGGGGGTGAGTGTGAGTGAGTGGAGGGGGGTGAGTGTGTGTGTGTGGGGGTGAGTGTGAGTGAGTGGAGGGGGGGTGAGTGTGTGTGTGTGGGGGTGAGTGTGAGTGAGTGGAGGGGGGGTGAGGTGTGTGTGTGGGGGTGAGTGTGAGTGAGTGGAGGGGGGGTGAGTGTGTGTGTGGGGGTGAGTGTGAGTGAGTGGAGGGGGGTGAGTGTGTGTGTGTGGGGGGGAGTGTGAGTGAGTGGAGGGGGGGTGAGTGTGTGTGTGTGGGGGGAGTGTGAGTGAGTGGAGGGGGGGTGAGTGTGTGTGTGTGGGGGTGAGTGTGAGTGAGTGGAGGGGGGTGAGTGTGTGTGTGGGGGTGAGTGTGAGTGAGTGGCGGGGGGGGTGAGTGTGTGTGTGGGGTGAGTGTGAGTGAGGTGGGGGGTGAGTGTGTGTGTGGGGGTGAGTGTGAGTGAGTAGAGGGGGGGTGAGTGTGTGTGTGTGGGGGTGAGTGTGAGTGAGTGGAGGGGGGGTGAGTGTGTGTGTGGTGGGGAGGGAGTTGTGAGTGAGTGGAGGGGGGGTGAGTGTGTGTGTGGGGGGGAGTGTGAGTGAGTGGAGGGGGGGTGAGTGTGTGTGTGTGGGGGGAGTGTGAGTGAGTGGAGGGGGGGTGAGTGTGTGTGTGGGGGTGAGTGTGAGTGAGTGGAGGGGGGGTGAGTGTGTGTGTGTGGGGTGAGTGTGAGATGAGTGGAGGGGGGGTGAGTGTGTGTGTGTGGGAGGTGAGTGTGAGTGAGTGGAGGGGGGTGAGTGTGTGTGTGTGGGGGTGAGTGTGAGTGAGTGGACGGGGGGTGAGTGTGTGTGTGTGGGGGTGAGTGTGAGTGAGTGGAGGGGGGGTGAGTGTGTGTGTGTGGGGGTGAGTGTGAGTGAGTGGAGGGGGGGTGAGTGTGTGTGTGTGGGGGTGAGTGTGAGTGAGTGGAGGGGGGGTGAGTGTGTGTGTGTGGGGGTGAGTGTGAGTGAGTGGAGGGGGGGTGAGTGTGTGTGTGTGGGGGTGAGTGTGAGTGAGTGGAGGGGGGGTGAGTGTGTGTGTGTGGGGGTGAGTGTGAGTGAGTGGAGGGGGGGTGAGTGTGTGTGTGTGGGGGTGAGTGTGAGTGAGTGGAGGGGGGGTGAGTGTGTGTGTGTGGGGGTGAGTGTGAGTGAGTGGAGGGGGGGTGAGTGTGTGTGTGTGGGGGTGAGTGTGAGTGAGTGGAGGGGGGGTGAGTGTGTGTGTGTGGGGGTGAGTGTGAAGTGAGTGGAGGGGGGGTGAGTGTGTGTGTGTGGGGGTGAGTGTGAGTGAGTGGAGGGGGGGTGAGTGTGTGTGTGTGGGGGTGAGTGTGAGTGAGTGGAGGGGGGGTGAGTGTGTGTGTGTGGGGGTGAGTGTGAGTGAGTGGAGGGGGGGTGAGTGTGTGTGTGGGGGTGAGTGTGAGTGAGTGGAGGGGGGGTGAGTGTGTGTGTGTGGGGGTGAGTGTGAGTGAGTGGAGGGGGGGTGAGTGTGTGTGTGTGGGGGTGAGTGTGAGTGAGTGGAGGGGGGGTGAGTGTGTGTGTGTGGGGGTGAGTGTGAGTGAGTGGAGGGGGGGTGAGTGTGTGTGTGTGGGGGTGAGTGTGAGTGAGTGGAGGGGGGGTGAGTGTGTGTGTGGGGGTGAGTGTGAGTGAGTGGAGGGGGGGTGAGTGTGTGTGTGGGGGTGAGTGTGAGTGAGTGGAGGGGGGGTGAGTGTGTGTGTGGGGGTGAGTGTGAGTGAGTGGAGGGGGGGTGAGTGTGTGTGTGGGGGTGAGTGTGAGTGAGTGGAGGGGGGGTGAGTGTGTGTGTGGGGGTGAGTGTGAGTGAGTGGAGGGGGGGTGAGTGTGTGTGTGGGGGTGAGTGTGAGTGAGTGGAGGGGGGGGTGAGTGTGTGTGTGGGGGTGAGTGTGAGTGAGTGGAGGGGGGGTGAGTGTGTGTGTGGGGGTGAGTGTGAGTGTGAGTGAGTGGAGGGGGGGTGAGTGTGTGTGTGGGGTGAGTGTGAGTGTGAGTGAGTGGAGGGGGGGGTGAGTGTGTGTGTGGGGGTGAGTGTGAGTGAGTGGAGGGGGGGTGAGTGTGTGTGTGGGGGTGAGTGTGAGTGAGTGGAGGGGGGGTGAGTGTGTGTGTGGGGGTGAGTGTGAGTGAGTGGAGGGGGGGTGAGTGTGTGTGTGGGGGTGAGTGTGAGTGAGTGGAGGGGGGGTGAGTGTGTGTGTGGGGGTGAGTGTGAGTGAGTGGAGGGGGGGTGAGTGTGTGTGTGGGGGTGAGTGTGAGTGAGTGGAGGGGGGGTGAGTGTGTGTGTGGGGGTGAGTGTGAGTGAGTGGAGGGGGGGTGAGTGTGTGTGTGGGGGTGAGTGTGAGTGAGTGGAGGGGGGGTGAGTGTGTGTGTGGGGGTGAGTGTGTGTGAGTGGAGGGGGGGTGAGTGTGTGTGTGGGGGTGAGTGTGTGTGGGGAGTGTGAGTGAGCGGAGGGGGGTGAGTGTGTGTGGGGAGTGTGAGTGAGCGGAGGGGGGGGTGAGTGTGTGTGGGGAGTGTGAGTGAGCGGAGGGGGGGGTGAGTGTGTGTGTGGGGAGTGTGAGTGAGCGGAGGGGGGGGGTGAGTGTGTGTGTGGGGAGTGTGAGTGAGCGGAGGGGGGGGTGAGTGTGTGTGTGGGGAGTGTGAGTGAGCGGAGGGGGGGGTGAGTGTGTGTGTGGGGAGTGTGAGTGAGCGGAGGGGGGGGTGAGTGTGTGTGTGGGAGTGTGAGTGAGCGGAGGGGAGCGGAGGGGGGGGTGAGTGTGTGTGGGGGTGAGTGTGAGTGAGTGGAGGGGGGGGTGAGTGTGTGTGGGGTGAGTGTGAGTGAGTGGAGGGGGGGTGAGTGTGTGTGTGTGGGGAGTGTGAGTGAGCGGAGGGGGGGGTGAGTGTGTGTGTGGGGAGTGTGAGTGAGCGGAGGGGGGGTGAGTGTGTGTGTGGGGAGTGTGAGTGAGCGGAGGGAGGTGAGTGTGTGTGTGGGGAGTGTGAGTGAGCGGAGGGGGGTGAGTGTGTGTGTGGGGAGTGTGAGTGAGCGGAGGGGGGTGGGTGTGTGTGGGGAGTGTGAGTGAGCGGAGGGGGGTGAGTGTGTGTGTGGGGAGTGTGAGTGAGCGGAGGGGGGGTGAGTGTGTGTGTGGGGAGTGTGAGTGAGCGGAGGGGGGGGTGAGTGAGCGGAGGGGGGTGAGTGTGTGTGTGGGGAGTGTGAGTGAGCGGAGGGGGGGTGAGTGTGTGTGTGGGGAGTGTGAGTGAGCGGAGGGGGGGGTGAGTGTGTGTGTGGGGAGTGTGAGTGAGCGGAGGGGGGTGAGTGTGTGTGTGGGGAGTGTGAGTGAGCGGAGGGGGGGGTGAGTGTGTGTGTGGGGAGTGTGAGTGAGTGGAGGGGGGGGTGAGTGTGTGTGTGGGGAGTGTGAGTGAGTGGAGGGGGGGGTGAGTGTGTGTGTGGGGAGTGTGAGTGAGTGGAGGGGGGGGTGAGTGTGTGTGTGGGGAGTGTGAGTGAGTGGAGGGGGGGCTGAGTGTGTGTGTGGGGAGTGTGAGTGGAGGGGGGGGGGTGAGTGTGTGTGTGGGGAGTGTGAGTGGAGGGGGGGGTGAGTGTGTGTGTGGGGAGTGTGAGTGGAGGGGGGGGTGAGTGTGTGTGTGGGGAGTGTGAGTGGAGGGGGGGGTGAGTGTGTGTGTGGGGAGTGTGAGTGGAGGGGGGGTGAGTGTGTGTGTGGGGAGTGTGAGTGGAGGGGGGGGTGTGTGTGTGTGTGTGGGGAGTGTGAGTAGAGGGGGGGTGAGTGTGTGGGGAGTGTGAGTAGAGGGGGGGTGAGTGTGTGGGGAGTGTGAGTGGAGGGGGGGGTGTGTGTGTGTGGGGAGCGATAGTGTAGCGGTTAGCGCGCTGCGCTATGAACCTGGCGACCCGGGTTCGATTCCCGCTCACGGCCAACACCAGTGACGATTATCTGAACCGGTCCCGGGCCTCCCCTAGGTCAACTCAGCCTCAAATGAGTACCTGGTGCGGTGTGTAAACATCGTCACTAAGAAGACAAAGGCGGTCGGGCGTGGTACTGGCCACCCACCCCCTCGTGTACCGTTCCGGCCTTCATAGGTGCTGCTCGCTAACAGCACTTGCCCCTACAGTCTGTTAAGGCTATACGGGGGATCTTTGTTTTTGGGGAGTGTGAGTGGAGGGGGGGGGTGTGGAGAGTGTGAGTGGGGGGGGGTGTGTGGGGGTGTGTGGGGTCAAGGGTGAGTGGAGGGGGGGTGTGTGTGGGGGTGTGTGGGGTCAAGGGTGAGTGGTGGTGCCCTCACCACTCAGGTTGCCGTCCGCCATGAGGTCCTGCACGCGGCTCACGGCGTCCTGCAGAGGCGGCACGGGCGCACGTGTCACTACTCTCTACTCTACTCACTACTCTACTCACTACTCACTACTCTACTCACTACACTACTCACTACTCTACTCACTACTCTACTCACTACACTACTCTACTCACTACTCTACTCACTACTCTACTCACTACTCTACTCACTACACTACTCACTACTCTACTCACTACTCTACTCACTACTCTACTCACTACTCTACTCACTACACTACTCACTACTCTACTCACTACACTACTCACTACACTACTCACTACTCTACTCACTACTCTACTCACTACTCTCCACTCTACTCTCCACTCTACTCTCCACTCTACTCACTACTCTATTCTACTCACTACTCTATTCTCTACTCACTACTCTACTCACTACTCTAGTCACTACTCACTACTCTACTCACTACTCTACTCACTACTCTACTCACTACTCTACTCTCTACTCACTACTCTACTCACTACTCTACTCACTACTCACTACTCTCAACCACAGCTACTGCTCTGCCTAATATTACTGCCACTACTAACTACTACTACCCGCGAATACTCACTACTACTACTCACTACCATTAACCGCAAATGCTACTCACGCCTACAAGTCCCTGCCATTACTATTCACGACTGCCACCACCACTTTGTTATTCGCGACGACTACTGCCACTCGCTACGATGACCATTCACCACTCAACGCTCCTATTCGTTCACGTCCATTTTTCACCGCTGCTATTCCCTGCTGCTGCTGCTGCAGCTCTCACCTGTGTCCTCATGGCGAAGTGCGACGCCAGGTCCTCCATGAGCACGACCTTGGACGCCTGCACTTAACACACACGTACGCACACACGGGCATCCACACATGAAGGCGTGCGTGGTGTGGCGCGTGTCACGTGGTGTATCGTGTGGCCGTGTGAACAGAGTGCAGTGTGCGGGAGGGTCCAAGGTAAACTGCCTTGACAGTGCACGACCGTGCTCAGGTAGAGTGTGGTGGGCTCCGCGAGTGCGTGACGCCGACGGGATGTCACCGAGTGCCTGACGGAGAAAACTGAAGACCCAGGCTGCTGCAGTGTCGTCACAGCCTATGGAATTCAGTTCTCACCGCCCGGCACCCTCTCCACGCGTACGTATGCGTGTGTCTTTGTGTGTGACAGTGTGTGTATGAGAGCCTTCGACACTTCACGTGGCCTCAAAGTGCACCTGGCCTGGCACAGGCGCCGTGGTGATGTCACCGTCACTTAGTGGCGAATGGCGGGTGTGTTGGTATTGGGGCGGTCGTGTAGTGGTTAGCGCGCTGCGCTACGAACCTGGCGACCCGAGTTTGATTCCCGCTCACGGCCAACACCATTTACAATTATCTGAACCGATCCTGGCCTTCCCTTAAATCGACTCGACCTCAAATGAGTACCTGGTGCGGTATGTAAACATCGCTCACTCGTGAGACAATGTGGTGATAGCAACCCACCCCCTTGTGTACTGTGCTGCCCTTTATAGCTGCTCGCTAACAGCACTTGACTCAAAAGTCTATGAAGGCTACACAGGAACCTTTGTCTTGTGTAGGTATGTGTGCATGTGAGCGTATCGGTGTGTGCGTGTGTCTGTGAGTCCATCACCTTGATGAAGTCGATGAATTCCTGCAGCTGGTTCTGGGACTGTTGAAACACGCACAGCACAACCGTTATGCGTGCGCCGCTCACTCTCTCGATCACTCACTCGCTAGCTCACACACTCGTGCACTCATTCGCTCACTCTCTCAATTGCTCACTCCGCTACTCGTTAGCACTGACACTGTCATCGCCTCTGCCCTCCCTCTCCACCAGCATGTACTACTGAGACCCACCGCTAAAACAGCCCATGTGCTGCCAAGTTCACCACCGCCTCTAGCCTGCGTCCCCCGTACACGGAGCGCACTCCCCACGGCACGCGTGACCGACACACACGGCCACGCGGACTCACCATTGCTAACACAGCCCGTGCACTACCAGGTTCTACCAGGCTCACCGATTATGTATATGGTACGAAAGAAGTTCAACATACATCACTGCTAACAAAGCACGTGCTACGAGGCTCACTGCTGAAGCAGCCTGTTCTCAACACAGCGCACAACCGGTGTCCACCACCAGTCCAGCAGTCCCCCCCCCCCACTATGATCCGGCGTGACCTCTCACCTCCTGCTCGGTGGCCTCATCCAGCATGCCCTCCTCTTCCACCACAAAGGCCGCCCTGAGCTTCAGGTACTCCTCCTGCTCACGCCTCTCCTCCTCTTCCTTGGCCCGGAGCGCCTTCTCGGCCTGCGAGCGGCACGCGGCACGACGGCCCCGTCACCCTCCCGTCCATCGCGGGGTTTCGTCAGCCCCCCGATAGGGGGATCCAGCGGTCCCTGCCCCGCCGCGCCGCACCCCCCACCTCCCCCCACTCCCTCGACGCACAGCGGCGTCCGCTACTCGAGGAGGAGGAGGCGGCAGTGGACGGAGCGCATCGTCGTAGGGAGAGCGGGGCCGGAGCCGGGCCTCGCCTGTCCACGTTTGTCTCTCGCTGCTCTACCTCGGGGAGGGGGCGACGTGGCCCGAGACTCGAGCGCACGGCCACTTCCTCGTTCGTCCGGTCGCGACCATCCCGATGCTCGCACGCACCGGCTCAGTGATAATCATAACGCGGCGGAGGCGGCCAGACCCTGGGGTTTTATAGAGGTCCTCGATTTGCATAGCAAGCAGATGGGAGGGGGGGACCGGTGGGGAACTAAAACATTTCCCTAAAGGAACGCCCACTTCCCCCCCATCCCTATCCCCCACCCCCTATCTCCTACACTCCTCTTCTACGGTATGGTGGGGGGAGATCACATGAGGGGAACGGGGCTGCTAAACTAAGGGGGGGAGGCTGTCCACCACAATTGCAATTAGCTGCCCCCCCCCACATTGTGAAACGCTGGAACGCTACAGACATCGTGGGGCGCTGTGCGGTCGTGGTGGCAGAGGGCAGTGCGAGAAAACCCCCGCCTTCACTGCCCCCACACACCGACTGGCGTGGTGAAGTATGGACAAACATCCCTCGCAAGGCATGGAGGAGGAGGGGGTGTGGAGGAGGCTCTCATCCAGAAGTGGACAGGCCACCCGTCCGTGTGTGCGTGGCCTGGTCGTGGCCGGGGTAAGGTGTCAGGTGAACCAAGCTGGGGCTCGGTGGTCACGATGCGAGTGTGGCGGGCGGGGGGGGGGGCAAGGTGACCTTACGCAGGGGTCACAATGGGAGGGTCGGTGGGGGCAGCTGGGACCTCGTCACGGCACCCCGAGCGCACTTCCACTTTCTGTTCACGAGGCGGTGGTGTGGGTGTCGCCACGGCCAAGGGCACGGAGGGGGCCCCTCGTGTGTGGGGGGTTGTGTGTGGGGGGTTGTGTGTGGGGGGTTGTGTGTAGGGGGTTATTTTGAAAAACGGGAAACTCGGGCGATTATTATAAAACCATGGCCGCTGTTATTTCGTTTTTGTTCAGTTTTTTTTTCTTTCAGGCCAACTGTGAATTTCTGGGAAACGAGGAGAGGGTTTCCCGTCAGTCAGCGTTGCGCAACCACGAGCGGCAAAACCACGCACAGCCGCGACGAATACTAGCGCCGCCGCAGCGTGCGAACAGCGCAAGCACCACGTGACACACCATGGATGCACAACCACACACAACCGCAATGGGCACAACCACACGCGGAGCTACAAGCACACACACGCGGAGCTACAAGCACACACACGCAGAGCTACAAGCACACACGCAGAGCTACAAGCACACACACGCAGAGCTACAAGCACACACGCAGAGCTACAAGCACACACACGCAGAGCTACAAGCACACACGCAGAGCTACAAGCACACACGCAGAGCTACAAGCACACACACGCAGAGCTACAAGCACACACACGCAGAGCTACAAGCACACACGCAGAGCTACAAGCACACACGCAGAGCTACAAGCACACACGCAGAGCTACAAGCACACACACGCACATCCTGCCCCTCCACACGCCAGGATAAATCAAGATTCTCATTCTGACCACCACCACCACACAACAGCGTTCAACACACCTCCCGTGCACACACAACCACAGTCACGCAACCGCAATGCGCAACAACTCAAAAGAGACCCTACACGAACACACAAACACCACGACGCGTGGGTCACCACGACCACACACAACCTCTACAAGCACAACCACAGAACTGTGCACAACCGCCAATAAGATAAAGATCCCCTGTATAGCCTGAAACAGTCAACACAACCTCAACAACAACACCAACAACCGCCATTCACCACTAAGTGGCAGTGACTGTGCCAGGCTATGTGCACACAACCACACACAATCATACATTCACGTACAACCACACACAATCTCGAATACAACCAGAGCTACAATGAATACAACCACACACACCACCACCGAGCACACAACCCCAAGCACACAACCCCAAACACACGCCCACCAGACACCCCGTGTAGTCTTCTTAGACTGTTGGGGCAAGTGCTGTTAGCGAGCGCCCGTGAAAGCGGGCACGGCACACGAGGGCGTGGGTGTCCAGCACCACATCCGCCCGCCTTTGTCTCCCTAGTGCCGAGTTTATACACCGCTGCAGCTACTAATTTAAGGCTCAGTCGATCTAAGGGAGGCCCAGAACCGGTTCGGACATTCATCACTGTGAGCGGGAATCGAACTCGAGATACCGGGTTCGTAGCGCAGCGCAGGAACCGCAGCGCCACCGCTCCGCACGCCAAGGCACACGTCGCACCAAACGTGGCTCCGCCATGAATTTGGCCAAACCCCACGTGGGAGCGTTGCAGGTGCGGAGGGCTGCCGCTGGCGAGGGAAGCGCTGCTGTGGGCGGCAGGGCCGAGCTCGCTCGCATCCCATCAACCCGAAACCCCGCGATTGCAGAAGTGAAGAGTGTGCGAGTAAGCGCCAGCGGGCAACGCTCGGCCACAAGCGAGAAGCTGTGGGCACCAGCTTTGCCGGGATCAGCACAACGCCCGCGGATGGGGGGAGAGAGGAGGGGCGGGGGCAACGGCCCAGCTGTACGCCACGACGGCGCTGCACTTGTTTTTCCTAAAGCGCGTCCCGCCGTGTGTCCCGCGGCGCTTCGCCCGCTCGGATCCATTCTAGCGCTGGCCGGGATTGTGAAGGGCACCGCGTGTGTGCGTGCGTACGGGTGTGTGCGTCGGTATGGGTGCGTGCGCAAATTTATTATTTTCAAATTATAGACCGAGGGTCCATGCAGCATGAGCGGAACTTGCGAGGCACAAACACGACGTGGGAAAGAGACCGCAATTCTGAACCGGAGTGCCTGGGATCAAGAGGAGATCTGGGCTGTTGAGGCTCTGACGGTCAGGCCAAGGCTGCTAGTCGGGCCTCTAAATAATTCACCGATTCGTAACGCACAGACACACACCTACACTCAAGATACGCACACGCACATCCAAGAAAGAAGCTATTATTTAAAAATATGCAAATTATATCCAAATAATTTCTGCTCAATGAAGCATACATGGAGGTCTATGGCGAGGTCTATGGCGAGGTCTGTAGTGAGGTCTGTAGTGAGGAGGTCTGTAGTGAGGTCTGTAGCGAGGTCTGTAGCGAGGTCTGTAGTGAGGAGGTCTGTAGTGAGGTTTGCAGTGAGGTCTGCAGTGAGGTCTGTAGCAAGGTCTGTAGCGAGGTCTGTAGCGAGGTCTGTAGCGAGGTCTGTAGTGAGGTCTGTAGCGAGGTCTGTAGCGAGGTCTGTAGTGAGGAGGTCTGGAGCGAGGTCTGTAGCGAGGTCTGTAGCGAGGTCTGAAGCGAAGTCTGTAGCGAGGTCTGTAGCGAGGTCTGTACTGAGGTCTGTAGCGAGGTCTGTAGTGAGGAGGTCTGTAGTGAGGTCTGTAGTGAGGTCTGTAGCAAGGTCTGTAGCGAGGTCTGTAGTGAGGTCTGTAGTGAGGAGGTCTGTAGTGAGGTCTGTAGCGAGGTCTGTAACGAGGTCTGTAGTGAGGTCTGTAGTGAGGAGGTCTGTAGCGAGGTCTGTAGTGAGGTCTGTAGTGAGGTCTGTAGCGAGGTCTGTAGTGAGATCTGTAGTGAGGTCTGTAGCGAGGTCTGTGGCGAGGTCTGTGGCGAGGTCTGTAGCGAGGTCTGTGGCGAGGTCTGTGGTGAGGTCTGTAGTGAGGAGGTCTGTGGTGAGAAGGTCTGTAGTGAGGTCTGTGGGGAGGTCTGTAGTGAGGTCTGTAGCGAGGTCTGTAGCGAGGTCTGTGGTGAGGTCTGTAGTGAGGTCTGTAGTGAGGTCTGTAGTGAGGTCTGTGGTGAGGTCTGTAGTGAGGAGGTCTGTAGTGAGGAGGTCTGTAGCGAGGAGGTCTGTAGCGAGGTCTGTAGCGAGGTCTGTAGCGAGGTCTGTAGCGAGGTCTGTAGCGAGGTCTGTAGCGAGGTCTGTGGCGAGGTCTGTGGTGAGGTCTGTAGTGAGGTCTGTAGTGAGGTCTGTAGTGAGGTCTGTGGTGAGGTCTGTAGTGAGGAGGTCTGTAGCGAGGAGGTCTGTAGCGAGGTCTGTAGCGAGGTCTGTAGCGAGGTCTGTAGCGAGGTCTGTAGTGAGGAGGTCTGTAGCGAGGTCTGTAGCGAGGTCTGTAGCGAGGTCTGTGGCGAGGTCTGTGGCGAGGTCTGTGGCGAGGTCTGTAGCGAGGTCTGTAGTGAGGTCTGTAGTGAGGTCTGTAGCGAGGTCTGTAGTGAGGTCTGTAGTGAGGAGGTCTGTAGTGAGGAGGTCTGTAGCGACGTCTGTAGCGAGGTCTGTAGTGAGGAGGTCTGTAGTGAGGTTTGCAGTGAGGTCTGTAGTGAGGTCTGTAGCGAGGTCTGTGGCGAGGTCTGTAGCGAAGTCTGTAGCGAGGTCTGTAGCGAGGTCTGTAGCGAGGTCTGTAGCGAGGTCTGTGGTGAGGTCTGTAGTGAGGAGGTCTGTAGTGAGGTCTGTAGCGAGGTCTGTAGTGAGGAGGTCTGTAGTGAGGTCTGTAGCGAGGTCTGTAGTGAGGTCTGCAGTGAGGTCTGTAGCGAGGTCTGTAGCGAGGTCTGTAGCGAGGTCTGTAGCGAGGTCTGTAGTGAGGTCTGTAGTGAGGTCTGTAGCGAGGTCTGTAGCGAGGTCTGTGGTGAGGTCTGTAGCGAGGAGGTCTGTAGTGAGGTCTGTAGCGAGGTCTGTAGTGAGGTCTGTGGTGAGGTCTGTAGTGAGGTCTGTAGCGAGGTCTGTAGCGAGGTCTGTGGCGAGGTCTGTGGTGAGGAGGTCTGTAGTGAGGTCTGTAGTGAGGTCTGTTGTGAGGTCTGTAGTGAGGTCTGTAGTGAGGTCTGTGGCGAGGTCTGTAGTGAGGTCTGTAGTGAGGTCTGTGGCGAGGTCTGTAGCGAGGTCTGTAGTGAGGTCTGTAGCGAGGTCTGTAGCGAGGTCTGTAGTGAGGAGGTCTGTAGTGAGGTCTGTAGCGAGGTCTGTGGCGAGGTCTGTAGTGAGGTCTGTAGCGAGGTCTGTGGCGAGGTCTGTAGTGAGGTCTGTAGCGAGGAGGTCTGTAGTGAGGTCTGTAGCGAGGTCTGTAGTGAGGTCTGTGGTGAGGTCTGTAGTGAGGTCTGTAGCGAGGTCTGTAGCGAGGTCTGTGGCGAGGTCTGTGGTGAGGAGGTCTGTAGTGAGGTCTGTGGTGAGGTCTGTAGTGAGGAGGTCTGTAGTGAGGTCTGTAGTGAGGTCTGTAGTGAGGTCTGTAGTGAGGTCTGTAGTGAGGTCTGTGGCGAGGTCTGTAGCGAGGTCTGTAGTGAGGTCTGTAGCGAGGTCTGTAGCGAGGTCTGTAGTGAGGTCTGTAGCGAGGTCTGTAGCGAGGTCTGTAGTGAGGAGGTCTGTAGTGAGGTCTGTAGCGAGGTCTGTGGCGAGGTCTGTAGTGAGGTCTGTAGCGAGGTCTGTAGTGAGGTCTGTAGTGAGGTCTGTAGCGAGGTCTGTAGCGAGGTCTGTGGTGAGGTCTGTAGTGAGGAGGTCTGTAGTGAGGAGGTCTGTGGTGAGGTCTGTGGTGAGGTCTGTGGTGAGGTCTGTAGTGAGGAGGTCTGTAGTGAGGAGGTCTGTGGTGAGGTCTGTGGTGAGGTCTGTGGTGAGGTCTGTGGTGAGGTCTGTAGTGAGGTCTGTGGTGAGGTCTGTAGTGAGGAGGTCTGTAGCGAGGTCTGTAGCGAGGTCTGTAGTGAGGTCTGTAGTGAGGTCTGTGGCGAGGTCTGTGGCGAGGTCTGTGGTGAGGTCTGTAGTGAGGTCTGTGGTGAGGTCTGTAGTGAGGAGGTCTGTAGTGAGGTCTGTAGTGAGGAGGTCTGTAGCCAGGGTGCGGGAAGGTGCGGTGGCATCTAGAAACTGGTAGGACGCGTTTTGGCGCCTTGCACCTCATTTGCTTAAGGCCTTGCGCTGTCGCCCGCGCGGTCACGAGGATTGTTGGCATGAAACGGGGCGGCCAAGCGAAGCCACAGCTAGGCTGTCGCCCTTGACGGGAAACCCCAAACCTTGTGGCGCGCACCAAGATGCGGCCCCGCTTGAGGATCCCGCCCGGTCGACGGGGTGCACCACGTGCGGCGCGCGGCTCAACCAGCGACAAAACACGGCCGTGACCACCTCCGGGAGTGCCAGGGCAGCTCGCCCTAGGGGTGCGGTGAAGCTTCTCCCCAGGCTACACTTGTTCCCGCCAAAATAACCGCGCAGAAGAGATGCCTCCTTCACGCAAAAGTTTTTTTTTTTTACATCCCACCAGCCACAAGGCCTTCTGGGTTGTGCGTTGGTTTGAGCACTAAAAATCACTGCACCGGTTTAGATATTCAGTGCCCCGTCAGCAGAGTCAAGCTGGGCTCGACAATTCTGTACAAGGGCCGTCTCTGTTGATGAGAGGTGCCCAGGGCGCCGGCTTGTTTTCCCTGCTTGAGGTCACCGTCCCACCGGCTCACTCCCCACCGTCCGCACGCATGGACGGATTAACACACCCCCGCCGTACCGCTCCTCCGTCGTGTGCCGTCGCTGAAATATGGAATTGCCTCTCCCAGTCGCGCGCGCTCTGCCCCTGTTAAAAGTCCAGGCTCGATGCCTTGCTCCTCCCCCCTACCTGCGAGAGACTCCTCTCTATAACACAGAACTAACTGGACAGGTTTGTTTCGTTTAACCAGGAGTGAACTCAAGGAACCAGGATATAATCTAATTTGCAAGTGTGAGTGAGTGGGCGAGTGTGTTGTGACCTGCACTGTGCTGAGTGGGTGAGTGTACGTGTTGTTTTGACCTACAGTGTAGTGAGTAGATGAGTAAGTTAGTGTGTTGTTGTGACCTGCAGTGTGGTGAGTGGGGAAGTAAGTGAGCGGGTGAGCGAGCGGGTGAGTTTTTTGTTGAGCCCTGGAATGTGGTGGTGGTTGAACAGTCTAGAAGACAGGAAGCAGTGCGTCTGGTGTTCATTCCGATTCATGTGATGCGCATGTCACGCTGAGCGGCGTTTCATGATTCTGCCAGGTTTAGTAGATACTATATATGAATGAACTCTGTAAACTGCAATTGTGTGGGATCGACGATACAGCGATGTCATGAGTCTAAGCGATTTCCTTCTCACACGAGCCTGGAGGCGGTGCGCATCTTCCTGTTTATAGCCCCGCGCAGCCAGCGGTGGAAATTCTACATTCCTGTGGCGGCTATCGATCAGAGAACCACTGTTAACTTTCTTACTCAATCGATGAACTCGGCAAGGGAGGGATGATGATGGGCTGAGTCGACACCCCCACCCCAAACCTGGAGTCAAACTCACACGCCCCGCCCAGCCGCGAGGAGCCGCTCACAGCGACGGGAGCGCGACAGTAGAATCGCGCGTGACTTTCTCTCAGATGTATTTTTGTCGTCAAAGTCCACACGCGGACGGCGAACAAGCCCCAAGCACGCCGCCACTTCCTCTAAGTGGACGCTGCCGGGAAATCAGATTGTGGCATCGAACCTTTGGTGTCTTGGAAAAGCTCGATCGCCCGCGGTGTTGCTCGCATGTAAACAAACTATTTTAATCGACGGCCTCGTTACAAACGCGCGACGCGTCCTCAGGTCACGCCCGCACGTGGACAAGTTGACGCTCCCGGCGCGCCGAGTGAAACCTCGGACATCGCACCGGGCTACACGCGGAATGCGGCTATTGTGTCGTTTAGGGATAGTGTAGTTTACTTGGGGATATTGTGTCATTTATTTAGGGATACTGTGTAGTTTATTCACAGATGGCCGCACGATTCATTGTTAGGAGTATTATAGTAAAGGACGGTAAAAGTGATCTTCATATTTAAATTGTCAGGGGCTGCCGCCAAACACGAGAAACATGGCAAACTTTGCGATGGCCACGCGGCACGATCATGGGATGGCGCCAATTTTTAGAGCGGCAGTTTTAAACGGCTTGGACGGCCGTGTGACGGCCGTGTGATGGCCGTTGCTGTTGATGTATGTGGAGAGGTCCTGTGTAACTTCCTACTGCGGTTCGAGACTCCAATTACAAACCCGTCACAGTCTCGGCCCGTGTGTTGGAACGGCCTGGACACCGCTTGTTACAGTGTCCATGCCATTGACTGACACAAGCATTTATGCTTTCATCCACTTAGTCGCCTATTATTTGACAAACATTCGCTGCTACGGAGAGACACTACACCAGAAAACGCATGCGATTCTTCTGTGTTGGCAGTGGTGCACAATGCACGCAAAAAAAAAACTTAACACATTCGTCACGAACACTGTGGTCCATAACAGAAACAAGATAACCGAAGTTTTGGGAAATGGCCCTTCATCTCTGATATATCCCGGCAAGCCAAAACTCCCGGCAGCCCACCACCAGAGGCTCTGTGGGCCACCGCGGCCCTGTGGGCCGACAGTTCAACAACTGCGTTCTATACGAACGCCGACACCCGTACGTCGAACATCGCTCTCGTATTAAGAGCGGGTGGAGAAAGTGCCATCCTCTACTGTGTGCAGACCAGAGGTCACTCCAAGAAACGGGGATCTCAAGAGGCAGCTCTGCGACATTTGCTTCCATGGGCCGTTCTCTAACATTGGCAGAAAATAGAAATATTTTTTGGTAACGAAAGACGCTGACACCGCCAGACAGAGCCGCCCCTAGGGTACGACGAATTGGGGCGACCACCCCGGGCCCCGCGCTTTGGGGGGCCCCGCGCTTCGGGGGGCCCCGTGCTTCGACATCACGCTGTCAGATGTTATGCTTCTGGTTTGGTATAAAGGAATCTGATGGGGGGGCCCGTACAGTGGGATTTGCCCCGGGCCCCGCACCACCACCCCCGTAGGCGGCCCTGCCGCCAGATGCTCGCGCCTCGCCCGTCTGCGGTCCATCTCGTCGTCGGCGAACGAACGAATGCGGGCGAGCAGCAGTCACTCGGGTGAGCAGTCACTCACCTGCCGCTCCTCACTGTCACGCTCCCGCGCCTCCTCCTTCTTGCGCTGCTCGTCTCGCGCCGCCTCCATTCGCCGGCGTTCCTCCCTCTCTGCCTCCTCCGCCTGACGGAGACACGCACAAACACGTGTACACACACGTGTACACAAGCATGTGCACATGTGCACGGGCATGCACACATGCCTGCACACATGCCTGCACCCATGCCTGCACAAAGACAACCACTCCCCCGCGTGGTAGCCGCAACACTACCATTCCCCATGGACACACACACACGTGTATACAAGTACATGGACACACACACACGTGTATACAAGCACATGGACACACACACGCGTATACAAGCACATGGACACACACACGTGTATACAAGCACATGGACACACACACGCGTATACAAGCACATGGACACACACACGTGTATACAAGCACATGGACACACACACGTGCATCCGCCCATGTGTACGCATATAGAAGTGAGACAGGAGAGGAGAGGTGGGAGGGCACAGCGAGGGTGGTAAAGTGAGATGAGAGGAAAGCAGAGGGAGACGAGAGGGGAGTAGAGGGAGCGGAGTAGAGGCAGATGAGGGGAGAGTATGGGGAGAGGAGAGTGAGATGAGAGGGGAGTAGAGGGAGCGGAGTAGAGGCAGATGAGGGGAGAGTAGGGGGAGGGGAGAGGAGAGTGAGATGAGAGGGGAGTAGAGGGAGTGGAGTAGAGGCAGATGAGGGGAGAGTATGGGGAGAGTGCAGTGAGATGAGAGGGGAGTAGAGGGAGGTAAGAGGGGGGTGAGAAGGGAGGAGGGTTCACACCTCTCTCTGCGACTTCTTCTCCTGCTTCATCTGCAGCTTGCGCTGCTTCTTGGCTCCGATCTTCCCCCCGCCCACCTCCTCCTCCGAGTCCCCGGAGTCGCCCTCCCACTCGGCACCTGCGCACGACGCCCGTCAGAGTTGCTGAGCACAGGCCCAAAACGTCACGGAGCCAGCAACAATCGGCACCATTGACGTTGCTATAAACAAGAGTGGAATTGAGCAAGGTTATGTATTATTAGAGCTAGGGGTAAAGAGCCGATGGGAGGGAATTCCCAAGTGGAGCAGTGCGAGGGAAGACCCAGGGAGAGGAGTGAGGTGACCTGCAGTGGTGTGAGAGGGCGATTGAAAGGATGCGTGAGCGAGTCGGTGAATGGTTGAGAGTGGTGTCTGAACGAGAGAGGCTGAGTGGGTGGATGAATGAATACGTGGGCGAGCGAGTGTTTGACCGAGTGGGTGAGTGAGTGAGCGAGTGGGTTGTTGTGACCTAAAATACGGTGGTCGGGTGGGCGAGAGAGTGGGCGATTGATCGAGTGGGTGAGAGAGTTGTTGTGACCCGCAGTGTGGAGGAGCACAGTGTGCATGAGACGAAACAGTCGAGTCTGGTCGACCGAGTCCCTTCACATGTGGTGGCGAAGGGTCCGACACGCGAGTGGCCGACGAAGGCGCGAGCGGGCGGCAGCGCTCACCGCCCTCATCATCCCTGTGCAGCTGCTGCTGCTGCTGCGCCAGTCTCTGAGCGTCGCGCCGGTGCCGAAGGTTGCGGACTCGACGCGGCTCCCCCGGCGCCCGCTCTTCGTTGGCCGCGGCGCGGGGTCTGGTGCCGGCCGCGACCGGCGCCTGTGCTCCATCCTCAAGCTCTGCGGCGCCACGACACGGGGGGGGGGGTGTTCGGTGGTCAGCGGATTAATACAGAATCACCAAGAGAGGAGGGCGGCTGACTCTCTCCTGTCTAGAAAAAAAACCCCATAATCATAAAAGAATAATCGCGCAGGCTGTAAAACGTAATTGTCAAACACAGAGAAAGGTGTAAATAAAAACACGGCCATTTGTGCATTCTGCAAAAAACCCATCAGCATTTCATGAACAACTGCATTGTGGTCATCTTGTCTGAAATCGACATCAAAATAAACGTCAGAGAATGTGGCTGACAGCAGCAATGACGCTGCGACTCGTCAGCACAGCCGAGTGACTAATGCTCACTGCTGTGAAGTCTGCCTAGGGAAACCATCTCTCTCTGTGTAGTCGCCCATCCCCGCACCAATGCGCCCCATTGCATTGGCCAATGCCAAAAACTCTCGCATCTCTAAACCACGGCCGTGGCCTGCCACGGCCGCAGACACCTGCGGTCACTGCGGCCACGCGCATCGGTCACCTGGTCCCCCGAGGGCCCATCAGGCCCCTCCTGTGCGTGCCTCAGCTGCTGACGGTCCACGCGCAACCGAGCCCAGAGTCCTCCGTGGTCATCCCCACATTGCGCTCACTTCGGCTGGCGGTCGCCGTTCGAAGCGGACTGCGACCCTCCGTGACCCGTGGATCAAACACATCGCTCGAGACGGCGGAGTACGGCAGCGAGAGCAGTTTATGCGAACGCCGTCGCAAGAGGCCACGCGTCTGGCGCGACGATGATCCCCATGGGGCCACGTGGCTGCGCGTCCACGTGGTCCGCTCAGCCGTGACCCCCCCCCCACTGCTCTGAACCCCTCGAGTCCACGTGATATTGTTGAACGCAGCGAGTCAATTGGCCCCTGTGCGTATCCCCATATTGAACCCTTAGTGAACCCAGTGGATCACTGCGGTCCGTATGGGTTTCTCTAGGGCCCTGTGGGTTCCTTACGAACCCTACGGGTCCCTGTGTATCTCTGGGGGTCCCCGCTAAGTCCCGTGGGTCCCCTGTTACTGTACAGTACTGTAACATCCCACATTGAACTCGGTGGTTCAATGCGGTTCCTCCCGAGTCTCTGCAGGATGGGGCCCCTATGGACACCCGCGATGACCCCCGGCGTGAGATCCCCGTGGTGCCCTCACCGGGCCCTCGGGCACGGCGCTGCCACCGCAGCAGCAGCAGGAAGAGAAGCAGCAGCAGCGAGCCGACAGGCAGCGCCACCCACAGCGGCAGCGCCTCCATGTCGAGCCCCGCGCGCCAGTCACGTGGCCCCGGCCCTGACGGTACATCCGGCGGAAACGGAAGTCACGATGAGCTAATTAGTGTCATTAACGTGCTGGTAACACGTGGGACCTTTACCGTATCACATGGGTGGGTTTTTTTCAGTTTCAGTTTATTTTGGTATAGCCCTGTGAGCCATTCGGCTCTTGAATCGGGTGCAACCACAACAAACAAAAACACGAACAAGAAAAATATCTTAAAGTGACTATGTGACTGTGCAAACAGAAAATCCATGAAAAAAACAGCAAAATATTCCTGAAAAAAGCACCGTACACCAACGCTGTGTGCAAATAATCCCCAGTGGGATGCAAGTCAAACAACAACAACCACAAGAAAACTTAGATTAAGGCCATCAGTCTAACTCCGTACTATAACATAACAAACATGTCCAAACCAAAAAACTTTTTCCAAATCACGAAAAAATAAAGCCATAATTGCAACGTAACAGTGATCACAGGGACTGTGACCGAATTTTTACAATAAACTACATAAATAACATGTAACACCAAATCCTAGAGCCATAGCTGGCTGCATGAGTTACTCCACAACAACAGAAGCATCAGTCGGAGTATCAAATTTTTCAATGCACCTTTAAGATCACGCTAAATCAATATACAGATAATACTTTGCAGCGTCATCCGGAGCGAAACATTTTATTTTACGCCAATGAATAGCAGTGGCAGCTATGGGTGTACACCTCCTCTAGAGCAGTTTTGAGAGAAGATCTCATTGGTAGCGATTCAAGTTGCAGTTTATTGGCAATAGCATTCCAGACCCTGGGGGCATCAATAGCAAAGGCCCTTCCTCCAGTTTTTGTACGGCAATAGGGAATGCGAAGCTGGTAAATGAGCGAAGACCTGAGGTCAAATTTGTTCTTTGAAACAGAGAGGAGATCCAGCAGGTAGTCTGCGGATTTTTTTGTAAGTACATCGTGAATAAATAAGATCTGGTGCACAAGCCGTCGAACATTGAGATGTTAAATTTGACCCAATGTAGAGATCACAGTGGTGAGTCCTATATGGGCAGTTCAATGTAAATCTTAAGGCCGAGTGATAGATGGAATCAAGCTTCTTCAGTACAGTACTTGGGGCTGATTTATACACGATGTCACAGTAGTCAAGTAGAGGCAGTATGGTAGCTTTTATAAATTCCAAACGGAACATTGTGGGGAAGCAGTGCTTGTGTCGATACAGAAAACCAATTTTTATTTTTGTCTTTTTACCAATATAATCAATGTGATCATCAAAATTCAGTTTTTAATCCAGGATGACCCCAAGATACTTATAGATCTTGACTTGCTCTATTTGATAATTATTTAAGGAATGTAATTGGGGAAAAATAACTTCCTGCTTTAGTCCTGGTGAGAAGCATAGCACCTTGGTTTTGGAGGTATTCAGGACGAGTTTAAGAGCAACTAGCTGATGTTGTAGTTTGTTGAAATCACCCTGTAGCTTAGCAATCACGTCATCCGGAGAGCGGCCAGCAGTAATCAGTATCGTGTCATCTGCAAAAAGATTTACCCTGGAATGATCCAGGTCAGTGCCCAAGTCATTGACATAAAGAGAGAACAAAAGAGGGCCGAGGATGGAACACTCTGGAACCCCTTTTGTTATCTTAACACCGTTTGACCTCCAACCATCTGTGAATAGAGTTTGGGTGCGAGAAAAGAGGTAATTTTGTAACCATTTATCTGCGTTTTCGGAAAAACCGAGGCAACTTAGTTTATTAAGCAGGGTGTTGTGGTCTACTGTATCAAAAGCTTTGGCCAGGTCTAGAAAAAGACAGGCACAGTACTGCTTATTATCAAGGCTACTGTAAATGTGATTCAGAGAGTCTAATGCAGCAAATTTGGTGTTGTAGTTTTTTCGGAACCCAGATTGTTTTAGATGTAGTAGATTGTTGGTGGACAGGAAACTGCTAATTTTGTAGGTCAATAATTTTTCAAAAATTTTCATCAACGGGGACAAAATTGAGATAGGTCGGTAGTTATTTGGATCATCTTTAGGGCCCCCTTTGTGAAGTGGACGGACATAGGAATATACACAGTGTATCACGCGTTCGCGTGATACTCTGTGCATATTAAAGATCCTTGGCTGTGTCGGATGGTGGTGGGTTTAACGCCACATGTATATATTTACGCGATCTAACCCACACAAGAACATAACCTGTATTATGGACGAGATTGGTCGCGAAAGCCGACGTGTTCAACGTGAAACACTTTGTGATAATTATCGCACGAGATAAAGGCGCAGCCCTGCAATGTCCCTGCCCGTACCACTGCTCCACCGCCAGAGGGCGCTCTGTGGAGGGCGCTCTGTGGAGGGCGGGCGGGGGTCACCCCCCACCCACCTGCCCCCACCCCCGCCGCTCCTGACAGGTTCGCGGTTCGAACCGTCCAGTCTGCCCTGGTCACTGCTGCTGCGTGGTATTGATCAAAACGTACTGCGCGCCGTCTCCTGCACGGTCCACGTTAAAGACCCCGCGACGTCGTTCGGAACGCGCAAGCCGCCGTGTGCCCGTGTCACGGTCCAAATTCGACAAAATCCCCCCCCGCCCCAAACAGAAATACCCGCAGATGACTTCAGTCGGCGTCACACGAAGCAACGTCGCCCCCTACCGGGTGACTACGACGCGTCTGTGAAACACAGCGCCTGCTGGTCCTGCGACGCCCTCGCCGCCAATGTTGGTGCCGCCCGTGGAGTTGGTCATCTCAGGGAGACCAACTCCGTGACCGCCGCGCCGAGCGGGTCTCAAGGGAGTCTCGGCGACGCCAACTCTGCACCGTCGTCTGCAGCCGCGAGGCGTCGACTCTCGCCGTGCACGCGGCGCTGTGGCCAGCGGCGCACGCAGGCGACTTCGATACCGGCACGGTGGCTGCCCGTGCCCGCCGCGTCCCCCCAGCACAGCAAAGACGCCCGCGTGGTTGGCACCCGACTGGGCCTTTTAGCGGACAGCTGGTCGCGATGATGGGCACGTGTCCGCATGGACGTGCCGATGTCTGTGGCGTTAAGCCGGGGACAGGAGGACCGAGGGTCCCGGGTGGTCATCGACCCAGCGTGGGAGCGTCATCCGCGCGGTGTTGACCGCTCGCTCTCCGCGGGAGCAGGGGCCTCAGCGGTGCCCGCGATTTGCGATGCCGTGACAGCTGCCTGACGGGTGCTGTCCGCTCACCGGTGCCATTTAAAGTCGACACATTCCACGTCGCCATTCGGAAAGTGTCCCTCACATCTTGGTCTGTGTAGCGGCATCGCGGTGATGACCGTCCCCAGGGTTCGGGCTATACCCCACCATGTGCCGAGCTACGCCGTCTGTCGGAACCTCCGTGATCGGTAGGCCGAACTGATCTGGCATGGTCAGGGGCTGACACTCTGGGGCTACTACGGAGACACTCGTACTCGGTATCTGCTTGAATCAAGGCCGTAATTATAATATATTGGGGAGGACACATCCCCCCCAATATATCCAATACATTATGCTCAGAATGTCCCCCCCCAATATATTGCTATAAAAATATTAAAAAGTTATAATTGCGATGCTATGTAAATTAAAATAATTTTCTAAACCTTGGCCACAATATCTTGGCTTGTCTTCATATAAATCAATGCATATATTTATATTCTTGACTTTACCAAGAATATGAATCCCTGCAGTCACGAAAGCTTTAAATCAAAAGCATAGATTTATGTTTATATGATTGTGGTTATGGTTGTACTTTATTAATCCCTAATTTCAAACATTACATACAATTAAACAAGAAATGGTAAAAAAGTAAAAACAGAGCAAAGTAATACAATACACTATCAGACATTATTGTAAAAAAATAAAAAGTCCATCCCGTGTGTTAGTGAATTTTTAAATATTTTAGGCAGGAAATTAGTTTTCAAATTTAGATATTTTTCTGGGTTGGGACCCCCAGACCCCCTGGAAGATTTGGTCCCCCCCAATGTTGACTCCATGGCTACGGCCTTGGCTTGAATAATAAAATGTACAAAGTTATTACGAACGGGTTTTGCCCGTGACGATGTCTCGTTCTTGGTTGTTCCTCCCTTGCGCGTGAAGCTTCAGGTCGGCCGGATGAAGACGCGAGGCGATGATGTTTGTGCGTCGCTCTGAGGCTCCCGTGATCCGTAACAAAGCATTCACACCCCCCCCCCCCGCGAAGTCGAGTTGACTCAGGGAACAAAGCGCGCGGCGATGAGAGCCGTGATGATGTTAAGCTGTGCCTGACATCGCTTTCCACGTGCGTGTGTGTTTACTCACACATTAGCCCATCGTAACAGGACTATAGTGCAGGCCCGCAATATTTATTATGTTATGATGGGTGCTGTGTGTGTGTTGAACTTCTTTCGCACCGTACGTAGTCAACCGTGCTAATCGGCGGTGATGGGAAAGGACAACAAACTAAACACAAAAATCAGTTGTAAAGAAAATAGTTTTAAATATAGATGATTTAAAAGTGCATAGCTCTAGTGGCTTTTTAATACCGGAAGGGAGAGCGTTCCAAACGGCCGCAGAAGCTCGTCTGAAATCATGCTATATCATGACCGTGTTTGTTGGGTAATGTTGTGATGATGGGTTCTTCTCATCTATAGATTCTTGTTGGCATTGGCCAAGATAGAGGGCCTGCATAGTGTGGATGTGGAGATTTCACTCCCACACCACGATGAGCCCCATCGACTCGCCTCCACGCGCTTCGTGTCATCATCATTAGCAACATCAACAACGTAAACATCATCAACAGCCCGTGCGCTCCGTGTCATCATTAGCAACATCAACAACGTAAACATCATCATCAACAGCCCGTGCCAGTATCAAAAACATGAATACAATTATCGTCATCATCGACACATCAATCCATCACCATCAGCAGCATGTCAATACATGATCATAATCACCATACTCCGTGATCGTCAACATCATCTTCATCATCATCATAAACAGCACCCGATATATTATCGTTAATACCCCAATCCATCATCATCAACACCAGTACCCAACTCATCATCACAGGTCACAACCACATCATAATCACCATCACACCAGTCCACCACCATCATCATCACAGCACCCAATATGACATCATCATCACAATCGTCACTGTCATCACACTCGTGGAGGACTTCATGCCAGCACACGCAGCTCTTATCGCATGACCCACGCTGTCTGATACAACTCTGCATATTTGCCCACGATAACAAAACGGAGACTTCAAAGTTACGGCTAGGAAATCCATGACAATGGAATGGTAGCTAAGTGCACAAATAAGTCCCCTACAAAGTAATAACCCCCTTTTCAGATGCCTTCCCCTACCCCGACCACACAAAGCAGAGGGAGGGGGGAGGGGGGCTTCCTTGGGGGTCTGCGCCCCACCGATTCTCTCCCCCCGCCTTTCTCCGATCTCCCACTCGAGCCGCTGTTACCTGGTGTCGCCTGGTGTCGCCAGGTAACCACATGCGTGCGTGCGTGAGTCACGCGCAGCGGGGGGTCGGAGCCGCAGGTAAGGCGACGGCGAGTCGAGGTGTTTCGACTCAGAGCGTGAGAGAAGCGGAGAGGGCGAGGACGGCAGCAGGTCGGGGCGAGTGAGTCGACTCCGCGTCTCGGCGCGAGGAGGAGGAGAAGAGGAGGAGGTAAGCAGCGGTAGGCGAGGGTTGTGGGGGATAGAAGGTGAGAGGAGGCCGAGAGAGGAGGTTGTTGACGAGGTGGTAGGGAGGAAGAGGAGAGGAAGAGGTGAACCATTTGCCCGTCACTCGGAGAGACACGCGTGGGAACGATTGTTGACATCGGGGGCCCAGGGGGACACGTGTGGAGTAGCCAAGGGGGTTCGTGTGGAGTAGCCAAGGGGGTTGGTGTGGAGTAGCCAAGGGGGTTCGTGTGGAGTAGCCAAGGGGGTCCGTGTGGAGTAGCCAAGGGGGTTCGTGTGGAGTAGCCAAGGGGGTTCGTGTGGAGTAGCCAAGGGGGTTCGTGTGGAGTAGCCAAGGGGGTCCATGTAGAGGAGCCAAGGGGGTCCGTGTGGAGTAGCCAAGGGGATTCATGTGGAGTAGCCAAGGGGGTCCATGTAGAGGAGCCAAGGGGGTCCGTGTGGAGTAGCCAAAGGGGGGCTCTGCGTGTGGTTGCGTGTGACCGCGATTCTCTTGATAATGACACCTCATGTGCCCCTCCCCCCTCTCCGCGCACAGGTCCCCAAGACCGAGAACCCCCTTTCTTCCGAGGACCATCGCGGCCACTCCGATGCGCGTCCCCACGCTGGCGGGGTGAGCGACCCGCGGCGTCGGCCATTATGTTCCTGGCCGGCCCTGCTCCTATTCTCACGCCACCTCCCGTCCAGGGGCACAACTTCGTGAGCCGTCCTCTGTTCTTCCCGGGCGCCGCGTGGTCGGACCCCAGCGCCATGGAGACCTTCCATCACTTCCACCACGGAGGACGCGGCACCACCACCTCGCCCTCCTACTCCTACTCGTCCTCCATCCCGCCCCATTACCCCTACCAACACGCCTACCCCTACATGCACCCCGGCGCTTATTTGGCCCCGTACGTCAACCCGTACGTCAACCCGTACGCGTACCATCAACACGCGGCAGGCTACTACGCCGGCTATCCTGGCACGTTCGGGCTTTACTACAACCAGCAGCAGCAGCATCATCATCAGCAGCAACATCAGCATCAGCAGCAACATCAGCAGCAGCATCACGCCCAGAACCTGCAGCATTGGCCCGAGGGCGCGAGGCTGAGCGGGGAGCTGCGCTTCGGGGAAGTGGCGCGGGTCCACGCCGGCAGCGAGCGGCGCCCGCTGCCCGATCTCGTGCTGGCGGACCTGCGGCGCGTCTACGGCACCTTCCCGCACACCGCCTTCACCGTCAGCCGCAGCGGAGGCGAGTTCCTGGTGCACGGGGAGCCGCGCGTGGGGCCCCAGGAGTACACCGTGGAGCGACGCGTGCTCAGGCCCAGCCAGAGCCCCAGCGGCAGCAGCAGCAGCGGCGGAGAGAGCGACGGGGGTCGGAGGGGGAAGAGGAAGGGCAAGAAGGGGGCCAGGCGCTAGAACGAGGGCGGCGAGGGACGCGGGGGAGGTGTGGTGGTGGTGCCGGGGCGAGTCTGTGGCTCCGTCTTGCCCGGCTGTCGTAGGAGATTCCATTGTCACCTTCCCGGGACAGTCCGGGAATTTGTTTTTGTGTGCCACGGGTGGCAGACGGTCTCGGCCTGGTCCTGGCCGCACCACGGCCTCGTGCCGGCCTTCATAGGTGCTGCCCGGTAACAACACTTGCCCCTGTCTGTCAAAGGTTATGCGGGGGGGGGGGGGGGGTTGTCTTTGTTTTATCTACGAATATGCAAATACTGTATACGTTTGGGAATAAAACGAAATAAATGTTTACAAAAGGACAAATGTGTGCACGGGTGATTTGCTATCTCTTGTAGTGTAATGTTTGTTTGTTGAACTTCTTTCGCACCGTAAGTAGCCACCCGTGCTAAGCGGAGGTGCGGGACAGTCCCCTCGTGTGCCTCTGCTGTGAATGGAGGGGGGAGTCATGGAGAGAGAGTGATGGGTCAGAGGGGTGGGCAAGTGAGCAGTGGAAAGTTGAAGGTGAGGATGAATGTCAATGGCGAGATCCACTAGGTGGGGGGGGGGGGGGCACCTCGTCAAAGGTGAGTGATAGGTGAATGACGGTTGCGTGATAGGTGAGGTGTGACAGGTGAGTGACAGGTAAGAGATGACGGGCGAGTAACACGTGACAATTGACTGGTGGTGAGGGAATGGAGGGTGGTCAGGTAACAGGTGAGCGCGAGACAGGTGAGTGGCACCAAGAGAGAGGTGAGTGGCAGGTGAGTGAGAGGCGGTGGGCGAGAAGTCGCTGGTGACAGGTGATAGGTGAGTGACGGATGGGAGACTGAAAAGGTGAGCCACAGGTGAGGGATGCCCGGCGAGGTGGGTCACAGGTGAGTGACAGTTGACAGGTGAGTGACAGTTGACAGGTGAGTGACAGTATGTAGAACTTCTTTCGCACCGTACAGTGAGGGAAAAAAGTATTTGATCCCCTGCTGATTTTGTACGTTTGCCCACTGACAAAGAAATGATCAGTCTATAATTTTAATGGTAGGTTTATTTGCACAGTGAGAGACAGAATAACAACAAAAAATATCCAGAAAAACGCATGTCGAAAATGTTATAAATTGATTTGCATTTTAATGAGGGAAATAAGTATTTGACCCCTCTGCAAAACATGACTTAGTACTTGTTGGCAATCACAGAGGTCAGACGTTTCTTGTAGTTAGCCACCAGGTTTGCACACATCTCAGGAGGGATTTTGTCCTACTCCTCTTTTCAGATCTTCTCCAAGTCATGAAGGTTTCGAGGCTGACGTTTGGCAACTCGAACCTTCAGCTCCCTCCACAGATTTTCTATGGGATTAAGGTCTGGAGACTGGCTAGGCCACTCCAGGACCTTAATGTGCTTCTTCTTGAGCCACTCCTTTGTTGCCTTGGCCGTGTGTTTTGGGTCATTGTCATGCTGGAATACCCATCCACGACCCATTTTCAATGCCCTGGCTGAGGGAAGGAGGTTCTCACCCAAGATTTGACGGTACATGGCCCTTTGATGCGGTGAAGTTGTCCTGTCCCCTTAGCAGAAAAACACCCCCAAAGCATGTTTCCACCTCCATGTTTGACAATGGGGATGGTGTTCTTGGGTCATAGGCAACATTCCTCCTCCAAACACGGCGAGTTGAGTTGATGCCAAAGAGCTCAATTTTGGTCTCATCTGACCACAACACTTTCACCCAGTTGTCCTCTGAATCATTCAGATGTTCACTGGCAAACTTCAGACGGGCATGTATATGTGCTTTCTTGAGCAGGGGGACCTTGCGGGCGCTGCAGGATTTCAGTCCTTCACGGCGTAGTGTGTTACCAATTGTTTTCTTGGTGACTATGGTCCCAGCTGCCTTGAGATCATTGACAAAATCCTCCCGTGTAGTTCTGGGCTGATTCCTCACCGTTCTAATGATCATTGCAACTCCACGATGTGAGATCTTGCATGGAGCCCCAGGCCGAGGGAGATTGACAGATCTTTTGTGTTTCTTCCATTTGCGAATAATTGCACCAACTGTTGTCACCTTCTCACCAAGCTGCTTGGCAATGGTCTTGTAGCCCATTCCAGCCTTGTGTAGGTCTACAATCTTGTCCCTGACATCCTTGGAGAGCTCTTTGGTCTTGGCCATGGTGGAGAGTTTGGAATCTGATTGATTGCTTCTGTGGACAGATGTCTTTTATACAGGTAACAAGCTGAGATTAGGAGCACTCCTTTTAAGAGTGTGCTCCTAATCTCAGCTCGTTACCTGTATAAAAGACACCTGGGAGCCAGAAATCTGATTGAGGGGGGGTCAAATACTTATTTCCCTCATTAAAATGCAAATAAATTTACAACATTTTTGACATGCGTTTTTCTGGATGTTCTTGTTATTCTGTCTCTCACTGTTCAAATAAACCTACCATTAAAATTATAGACTGATCATTTCTTTGTCAGTGGGCAAACGTACAAAATCATCAGGGGATCAAATACTTTTTTCCCTCACTGTACGTAGTCAACCGCGCTAATCGGAGGTGAGCGAGTGCCAGTTGAAAGGTGACAGGAGAGAGTTAAATGTAGACACGAGGGTGTACACGAGAATAATTGTTTTGTAAAAACTATAATTAGTAATAACAATTAATAACAACCGACGATGAGGGCGATCTCAGGGGAGCGCGCGCGGGAGGAGTCTGCACGCCCCCCCCCCCCGCGTGTTCAATGGCACCAAATAAATAAATACTGACACACACACACCTCATCACTCACCTCGTCACCATCACACAACCTCATCACTCACCTCGTCACCATCACACAACCTCATCACTCACCTCGTCACCATCACACAACCTCATCACTCACCTCGTCACCATCACACAACCTCATCACTCACCTCGTCACCATCACGCAACCTCATCACTCACCTCGTCACCATCACGCAACCTCATCACTCACCTCGTCACCATCAAGCAACCTCATCACTCACCTCGTCACCATCACGCAACCTCATCACTCACCTCGTCACCATCACGCAACCTCATCACTCACCTCGTCACCATCACGCAACCTCATCACTCACCTCGTCACATCGTCATCCCTGCCCCTCGCACTCCCCATCGCTCACGTCCCTCCCTCCCACCCACAACTCGCTCCCTCACCTCCCTCCCCCCTCCCTCCCCCCTCCCTCACCTCCCTCCCACAGCTCCTTCCCACAGCTCCCTCCCTCACCTCCCTCCCTCCCTCACCTCCCTCCCTCCCTCACCTCCCTCCCTCACCTCCCTGACCTTCCTCCCTCCCACACCTCCCTCCCTCACCTCCCTCCCTCACCTCCCTCCCTCCCTCCCTCACCTCCCTCCCTCACCTCCCTCCCTCCCTCCCACACCTCCCTCACCTCCCTCACCTCCCTCCCTCACCTCCCTCCCCCCTTCCACAGCTCCCTCCCTCCCTCCCTCACCTCCCTCCCACAGCTCCCTCCCTCACCTCCCTCCCTCCACTCCCTTCCCTCTGTCGCTGAGTCGCCGCTCGCAGCAACAGATCGCGCTTTGTTCTCTGGGAGATGAAAGCGTGGCCCCACCCCACAACCCCCCTCCCACCTCCCCCTCAACCCAGACCCGCCCCCACCTCCTCCACTCCTCCTTATCTCTCTCCCCCGCCCCCCTGCTCATCCCCCCGTGGTGGAGCAGGAGCGCGGGGCGAGTCAATACTCGCCCACGGGCTACCCGCCCGGCAGGCCTCGCTCGGGCGAGACCACCTCCACCGCTATCGGAGGGGAATATCACGCTCGAAACTCCGCACAGATGGATCCAATAATCAATTTCCGTACTGCCATCACCTGGCCACCTCGGAGCCTGAGCCTATAGCAGCTGTGACTCCCAGGCAGATTCACGTCGAAGCACTAACCAGGTGCATTCCGGGAGATTGAGCCGCATGCAAATCGAGTGCGGGTTGGCGAGACGCCGATTAAGACAAACGCAGAGCGGACGTGGTGGTGGGCGAGGTGGAAACGCCTTGCCGCCTTTGTTTCTCCGGCTTTGACGGTTTCATGACCACTACTAGCACCAATTGGATTCATTTCAGGCCAAGTAGACGCAGTGGTGATTCACACCAGGTTAAACAGAACTCTGGGTGTGTATGGGCAGAGCCACAGGAATGTACACCCCACCAGGCACTCAACAACACCAACCACAATAACAACCACAATAACAACCACAACAACATATCTCTCATTCCCAAGGCATAGCTATCCACCGGGTCTGTCCGGGTTGGCGACCTGCAAATATTGTTGCATCCGGCACACCACATCCACAGCACCTCTCACTATGGCTGTGGCTAGTCGTGTGCGACCAACTCCAGTCCAGCAGTGGCCCAGAGAATATCGAGTCCAGCCCTGCTCATCCCTCGGCCACGTGCCAGATCTGTTGAGTCGAGTCCGGCCCGGCTCACACGGTGGACTCTTGCCCCCCGTCGCCTGCGCCCTCCTCCCCGCTGCCGTAGTGCGGCAGCGGGGCGTTCTCGTGAGCCCTCCCGGCCACGATGCTCAGCCTCCCGGCTCCGCCGTGCCGCGGCGCCACCTTCACCAGCCGCTCGCGGTAGGGGACGGCCGGCGGCGGCGGCAGCGGCGGCGGGGGCAGCGGAAGCGCCACCGGCGGACGACGCTTGGCGCGGAGCTCCCCGTTGGCGCGGCTCCCGTCGGGCGGCGCCGCGGTGCCGGCGGGCGGCGGATCGACGCCGGCGAACTGCGGGGCGGCGGAGTGGCGTTGCGAGACGCGGTACGAGGCCAGCAGCGCCACGTCCTCGCTGCCCACCAGCGGCACGCGCGACTGCCGCTGCTCGCGCCGCCGCCGGCGCGGCCGGTACGAGCGGCCCTCCTCGCCGATCGTCACCCTCCTGCTTCTCTTCCACCTTCGCACCGCCGCCACCGCCGCCGCCGCCGCCGCCGTCGCCGCCGCCGCCGTCGCCGCCGCCGCCGCGATCGGGATGACCCAGCCTTCCCACGCGCCGCCGCCGGCTAATGCCGAGCGGGAGCCCTCGGAGCGGCAGGGATTCAGGGCGTCGTCGGAGACCGTCAGAGAGAAGGCGGCGATGGCGCGGTGCGAGCGGCGCTCCAGGGCGGAGCACTCGTACACGCCGGAGCGCTCGCGGCCCAGCGCCAGCAGCAGGAGGCCGTCCGGCAGGGCCCGCCAGGCCGGGGGCCTCGGAGGGCGGCGGCCGCCGCAGCTGCCGCCCCTCGTGGAGCCACCGGGCGTGGGCGTGCGCCGAGGGCATCGGGCAGGGCAGGAACGCGCTGCCCCGGAGAGCGGCCAGCACCGGGGTCACGGTGGGGGTGGCTGCGTACGGGGGGGAGGGGTAATTAGGCTGAATTTAAATGAGAGGCTCGTTTGCTTTCAGCTTTGTGATGTTGTCGGTGCCGCGAGACGAAGCGCCGTGCAGGGCTGTCGTGGCGAGCGGTGCATCACCCCGTGGTGTGGTGGCATGGTGGAGTAGCGTGGTGTAGTGTGGCGCCGAGGTGCGTGATGAGGTGTGTGGTGAATGGCGGTTGTTGTTGTTGGTGAGATGTTTAGTGAGTTTTCAGTTTCAGTGTTTTCAGTTTATATATTTTGGTATAGCCCTGTGAGCAATTCGGCTCTTGAATCGGGTGCAACCACAACAAACAAAAAAACAAAAACACGAACAAGAAAAACATCTTAAAGTGACTATGTGACTGTGCAAACAGAAAATCCATGAAAAAAACAGCAAAATATTCCTGAAAAAAGCACCGTACACCAACGCTGTGTGCAAAAAACCCAGTGGGATGCAAGTCAAACAACAACAACAACAACCACAAGACAACTAAGATTAAGGCCATCAGTCTAACTCCGTACTACAACAAAACAAACATGTCCAAACCAAAAAACGTCTTCCAAATCACCGAAAAATAAAGCCATAATTGCAACGTAACAGTGATCGAATGGTGAGGTGTGCTGTGTGGTGAGGTGTGGTGAGCTGTGGTGAGGGGTAGTAAGGGGTGGCGGTGGTGCTCACCCTGTTTCTCGGTGCACTCCCCCACGTCCCCGTTCTCCACATCCTGGATGCGGTATCCTCTGTCACACGCAAAGGAACGTCACGCGAAGGAATCACTCGCGAATGAATCACGCGCGAATGAACCACGCAATCAACTGATCACCACGAAGTCCGCTCCTTGAGACGGCGCGTGTGGGTGCAGGCAGCACTGTGGGGCGCGTAGCGCTGCGCGGGGGGTCCGGGGGGGGGCGGTCGCATGTCCTCACCTGTTGTCCAGCACCCCCACACAGCCCAAATTAGCGTCCCATGCGCACGTGGGGTCACGCGCGAGAACGCAGTCGGTGCACGAGGGGTAGCGCCCGCACGCGGCGCCCCCCAGCGCCACCTGTGCCACCGCGCTCCCGCTAACCACAAAGAGCCGCGTCTAGGGAGGGGGGCACGAGGGGTGGGGCGTTGGTCGGGGCCGCGACAACTGTGATCACGACGCTTCCCACTGCACTGACACTGGCACTAACCCTAACACTGGCCCTCACCCTTACCATCACCCTAACACTCACCCTTACCCTAACACTCACCCTAACCCTTACCCTAATACTCACCCTAACACTAACACTCACCCTTACCCTAACACTCACCCTAACACTTGCCCTAACCCTAACACTGGCCCTCACCCTTACCATCACCCTAACACTCACCCTTACCCTAACACTCACCCTAACCCTAACCCTAACACTCACCCTAACACTCGCCCTAACCCTTACCCTAATACTCACCCTAACACTAACACTCACCCTTACCCTAACACTCACCCTAACACTTGCCCTAACACTAACACTCGCCCTCACCCTTACCATCACACTAACACTCACCCTTACCCTAATACTCACCCTTACCCTAACACTCGCCCTTACCCTAATAGTCACCCTAACACTAACACTCATCCTAGCACTAACACTCACCCTAGCACTCACCCTAACACTCGCCCTAACACTCACCCTTACCCTAACACTCACCCTAACACTCACCCTTACCCTAACACTCACCCTTACCCAAACACTCACCCTAACACTCGCCCTAACCCTTACCCTAATACTCACCCTAACACTAACACTCACCCTAACACTAACACTCACTCGAACACTAACACTCACCCTAACACTAACACTCACCCTAACACTCTCCCTAACACTAACACTCACCCTAACACTTACCCTAACACTCGCCCTAACACTCGCCCTAACCCTTACCCTAATACTCACCCTAACACTAACACTCACCCTAACACTAACACTCACCCTAACACTCGCCCTAACACTAACACTCGCCCTCACCCTCACCCTTACCCTAACACTCACCTTAACACTCGCCCTAACACTAACACTCGCCCTCACCCTTACCCTAACACTCACCCTTACCCTAATACTCACCCTAACACTCGCCCTAACCCTTACCCTAATACTCACCCTAACACTAACACTCATCCTAATAATAACACTCACCCTAACACTCGCCCTAACACTAACACTCACCCTCACCCTTACCCTAACACTCACCCGAACACTCACCCTTACCCTATCACTCACCCTAACACTCGCCCTAACCCTTACCGTAATACTCACCCTAACACTAACACTCACCCTAACACTCACCCTAACACTAACACTCACCCTAACACTAACACTCACCCTCACCCTTACCCTAACACTCACCTTGACACTCGCCCTAACACTAACACTCACCCTAACCCTTACCCTAATACTCACCCTAACACTAACACTCACCCTAACACTAACACTCACTCGAACACTAACACTCACCCTAACACTAACACTCACCCTAACACTCTCCCTGACACTCACCGTAACACTAACACTCACTCGAACACTAACACTCACTCGAACACTAACACTCACCCTAACACTAACACTCACCCTAACACTCGCCCTAACACTCGCCCTAACCCTTACCCTAATACTCACACTAACACTCACCCTAACACTAACACTCACCCTAACACTCGCCCTAACACTAACACTCGCCCTCACCCTCACCCTTACCCTAACACTCACTTTAACACTCGCCCTAACACTAACACTCGCCCTCACCCTTACCCTAACACTCACCCTTACCCTAACACTCACCCTAACACTCGCCCTAACCCTTACCCTAATACTCACCCTAACACTAACACTCATCCTAATACTAACACTCACCCTAACACTCGCCCTAACACTAACACTCACCCTCACTCTTACCCTAACACTCACCCGAACACTCACCCTTACCCTGTCACTCACCCTAACACTCGCCCTAACCCTTACCCTAATACTCACCCTAACACTAACACTAACCCTAACACTAACACTCACCCTAACACTAACACTCACCCTAACACTAACACTCACCCTAACACTAACACCCACCCTCACCCTTACCCTAACACTCACCTTAACACTCGCCCTAACACTAACACTCGCCCTCACCCTTACCCTAACACTCACCCTTACCCTAACACTCACCCTAACACTCGCCGTAACCCTTACCCTAATACTCACCCTAACACTAACACTCATCCTAACACTAACACTCACCATAACACTCGCCCTAACACTCACCCTCACCCTAACACTCACCCGAACACTCACCCTTACCCTAACACTCACCCTAACACTCGCCCTAACCCTTACTCTAATACTCACCCTAACACTAACACTCACCCTAACACTAACACTCACCCTAACACTAACACTCACCCTAACACTAACACTCCCCCTAACACTAACACTCACCCTAACACTCACCCTAACACTAACACTCACACTAACACTAACACTCACCATAACACTCGCCCTAACACTAACACTCACCTTTACCCTTACCCTAACACTCACCCGAACACTCACCCTAACACTAATACTCACCCTAATACTCACCCTTACCCTAACACTCACCCTAACACTCGCCCTAACACTAACACTCACCCTAACCCTAACACTCACCCTAACACTAACACTCACCCTAACACTCATCCTTACCCTAACACTCACCCTAACACTAACACTCACCCGAACACTAACACTCACCCTAACACTAACACTCACCCTAACACTAACACTCACCCTAACACTAACACTCACCCTAACCCTAACACTCACCCAAACACTAACACTCACCCTAACACTCGCCCTAACACTCACCCTAACCCTAACACTCACCCTAACACTCACCCTAACACTCACCCTTACCCTAACACTCACCCTAACACTCGCCCTAACACTAACACTCACCCTAACCCTAACACTCACCCTAACCCTAACACTCACCCTAACACTAACACTAACCCTAACACTCATCCTTACACTAACACTCACCCTAACACTAACACTCACCCGAACACTAACACTCACCCTAACACTAACACTCACCCTAACACTAACACTCACCCTAACACTAACACTCACCCTAACCCTTACCCTAACACTCACCCTAACACTAACACTCACCCGAACACTAACACTCACCCTAACACGCATCCTTACCCTAACACTCACCCTAACACTAACACTCACCCTAACACTAACACTCACCCAAACACTAACACTCACCCTAACACTCATCCTTACCCTAACACTCACCCTAACACTAACACTCACCCGAACACTAACACTCACCCTAACACTAACTCTCACCTTAACACTAACACTCACCCTAACACTAACACTCACCCTAACCCTTACCCTAACACGCATCCTTACCCTAACACTCACCCTAACACTAACATTCACCCTAACACTAACACTCACCCAAACACTAACACTCACCCTAACACTCATCCTTACCCTAACACTCACCCTAACACTAACACTCACCCGAACACTAACACTCACCCTAACACTAACACTCACCCTAACACTAACACTCACCCTAACACTAACACTCACCCTAACCCTTACCCTAACACTCACCCTAACACTAACACTCATCCTTACCCTAACACTCACCCTAACACTAACACTCACCCTAACACTCACCCGAACACTAACACTCACCCTAACACTAACACTCACTCTAACACTAACACTCACCCTAACACTAACACTCACCCTAACACTCACACTCACCCTAACACTAACACTCACCCTAACACTAACACTAACACTCACCCAAACACTAACACTCACCCTAACACTCATCCTTACCCTAACACTCACCCTAACACTAACACTCACCCGAACACTAACACTCACCCTAACACTAACACTCACCCTAACACTAACACTCTCCCTAACACTAACACTCACCCTAACACTAACACTCACCCTAACACTAACACTCACCCTAACCCTTATCCTAACACTCACCCTGATCCCCTCTCTCTGCCCGCACCCCCGTCACGCCCACCTTGTCGTGCGAGATCTGCAGGCTGCTGATTGGCTGTGGGTTACTGAAGAGGTTGAGCTCCTCGATGACGTAGGCCGGCTGCCCCGGGGGACCCAGCAGAGCCTTGTGCAGCAGCCCTGAGTCTGACATCATCATCATCAACACCATCATCATCGCCATCATCATCATCATCACCACCACCATCATCTCCGCCATCACCACCGCCATCATCATCACCATCATCACTATCATCATCATCTCCACCACCAAAATCATCACCATCATCATCACCACCATCATCATCACCACCACCATAATCACCATCACCACCACCACCATCATCATCACCATCATCACTATCATCATCACCACCACCATAATCATCACCATCATCATCACCACCATCATCATCACCATCATCACTAACATCATCATCACCACCCTAATCACCATCATCATCACCATCATCACTAACATCATCATCACCACCATAATCACCATCATCATCACCACCACCATCATCATCATCACCACCATAATCATCACTAACATCATCATCACCACCATAATCACCATCATCATCACCACCATCATCATCATCACTATCATCATCACCACCATAATCATCACCATCATCATCATCACCACCATCATCATCACCATCATCACTATCATCATCATCACCACCATAATCATCACCATCATCATCACCACCATCATCATCACCATCATCACTAACATCATCATCACCACCATAATCACCATCATCATCACCACCACCATCATCACTAACATCATCATCACCACCATAATCACCATCACCATCATCACCACCATAATCACCATCATCACTATCATCATCATCACCACCATCATTATCATCACCATCATCACTATCATCATCATCACCACCATAATCATCACCATCATCATCACCACCGCCATCATCATCGCCATCATCATCATCGCCATCATCATCATCGCCATCATCACCATCATCATCACCACCACCATCACCATCACCGCCATAATCACCATCATCATCATCGCCATAATCACCATCATCATCACCACCATCATCACCATCATCACCACCACCATCATTGCCATCATCACCATCATCACCGGCAGCATCATCATCAGCATTGTCATTAGCATCAGCATCACATACCATCCTTCTAATCCTTGTGTCTGATGTCACATCATCATCAAGACATCAAACAACCATAATCCTGTGATCCACACATCACCATCGTCATCACTTTGTCTATCATCACCAATGTAATCATCGTCCTGTCAGCTGACATCATTCCCAAAAATTATTCTCATTGTTACCATTATCATCCCCTTTATCACTAAATCGTCATCTTTGTCATCATCACGATCTTTCCATCTTATTTTAATGTACTTATTAATCGAGCAGAACCACACTGCTCCTGCATTGCATTTTATTTTAAGATGTTTCAGCGAATGAATATTTATTTGTGTAGGAGGAGGGAACCGAAGTACCCGGAGATAACCCATGCCTTGAGTGAGGGGGCAACGCTCTATCCCCGTACAGATGGACACAGATGCCAATTAGTTCACTTGCTGTACCGCCTTCTTCTGGAGAGCCAGGGTACTGCACCTCCTGGACGCCCACGTGAAAGGAGTTTCACAACACCTGTGTGGTGATCCACCAACCCTAATCAGCACCACCACCCCTTCCTTGGCTGTGTGAATTGAGGTTGGGGGGGGGGCCCTGTGGTCGTAGATTGCGGGGCTGTGGTGGGGGGGGGCTCACCTGTGCCCAGGTACACGAGGTCGCGGGGGGCGCCTTTGGCGTCCAGCACCCGGAGCAGCGCCACCTGCGTGTAGCGCAGCCCGGGGGGGGCCACGAGGACTGGGCCCGCGGCCCCCTCCGGGGTCACCGCCTGCGCCATGAGGGGGTGCTCCAGGGCAAAGGTCAAGGTCTGCTCGGGCAGGTCCGTCGAGTTCTTGATCCCCCGCGCGCGCATGGCGTCCGTGATGCACTACGCACGCACGCGCAGCGTACACGTCAACGTGTGTCAACGTGTGTCAACGTGTGTCAACGTGTGTCAACGTGTGTCAACGTGTGTCCCCCGTGCCCTCGCCGCGCGTTCCCCTTCTCCCCCCGTGCACCCTCCCCCTCGTGTCTCACCGATCCGGGCCGTGGGGAGGGGATGTTGGTGCTGCGGGCACTCCAGCACATGCTGTTGGAGTGGAACTCGCGGTACGGGCCTTGGAATACGGCACGCAGGCGCGACACGGGGAGCGGGCACAGCGCGGAGATGGGGCCCCACGGCCTGGGCACCGCACACCGCACCACGGGGAACACAGAGGGTACACGTCACCACAAGCGAGATCCGCTGAGTGTCATCGCTGTCAGTGTAAGAGAACCTCCGGGACAACTGTGCGGTCGGGAACCTCGGTGCTGTTCCGGTAAACATTGCGGAGGAGTGGAGGCGGCGTGATCCTGGAACCTCCTGCGCTAAATCTGCGTCCGGGTCTTGCTGACGGACAGCCGATCCATCCCGTGACCAAGGATGGTGGTGCCCTTTGCACGACTACAAATGGGCAGAGGTACCCCCCCGGCCCCGCCCCCCCCCGCCCCCCCCCGCCCCCCCCTCTGCTCCCAAAGCCTCACCCCTGGGACTCAAAGACTCCGTAGAAGAGGCCGTCGCGCCACGACGGCCCGGGCTGGTGGTAAAACACGGAGCGGATTTTCTGCAGCGGCCCGAGCGAGCCGGGCAGCGTGCACTCCACGCGGGCCTTGAGGAAAGACGACCACCGCTTCTGCAGGGCCTTCAGCCCCCCGAGGTCTCCCTGCCGAGAGGAGAAGGTGCGGGAGAGGAGGGCGTCAGGGTCAACCGTACAGGGTCAGCAGGTTTTGGTAGAATTACTTCATGTAGTCTTTCATTCGTATAGTCACTCCTCAACATCATTCATTCGATCATTCATGTAGTCGTTCATTCAGAGTAATTTATGGAGTCATTTATTCATGTAGTCTTGTTGTAATTAATTCACGGAGTCAATCATTTATGTAGTCATTCGTCGTCACATAAAAAATCATCTCCTGTCAACAGCACAGCACCTGGGTCAGTGGTGGAAATTCCACATTCCGACCGGGGGGCGACATTCCCCGTGGTGAATGTCCCCACAAAGTGGTACTCTTTTCATCGACCAAGTCAGCCTCCCGATCGGGGTGTGAACTTGCAACTCTTCCATCGCGAACCGCTCACTCTAACGCTGAGCCACCCAGCCCGTTTGTAGTCACACGAGGGGGTGGGGGCCAGCATCACACCCGGCCGCCTTTGTCTCCCAGGTGGCGATGTTTACACACCGCACGAGGTACTCATTTGAGGCACAGTCGACCTACGGGGGACCCAGGACCGGTTCAGATATTCGTAACTGGTGTTGGGCGTGAGCTGGAATCGAGCTCTGGTCGCAGGGTTCCTAGCGCATAAAAACTACGAGCGATCTTCGTCAAGACAGACGCACACACGCACACACTCGTACATGCACACACAATCACACACACACACGCACACACTCGTACATGCACACACAATCACACACACACGCACACACTCGTACATGCACACACAATCACGCACACACTCGTACATGCACACACAATCACACACACACGCACACACTCGTACATGCACACACAATCACACACACACGCACACACTCGTACATGCACACACAATCACACACACACGCACACACTCGTACATGCACACACAATCACACACACACGCACACTCGTACATGCACACACAATCACGCACACACGCACACACTCGTACATGCACACACAATCACACACACACGCACGGTCACGCACAACAGCTGCCGTTCGCCACTACGTGCGCCTGTGCCAAGCCAGGTGCATTAGGAGGCCACGTGACGTGTCGACGGCCCGTGACAGACCCACATGACATGGGTTGACTAAGATGAGTCGTAGATGCACCAGCTGTGCCCCCTACTATTATCGGCCCGGCGCTCTGCTCGTTGTTGTGAGCGTCACTCCTCCGCTCTCCGAGCCTCCTCCATAGGCGCACACACATTGCACGTACACACACGTGCGCACAAACGTGGTACACACACGTGGTACACACACGTGGTACACACACGTGGTACACACCTTGCACACGCGCGCCACGCTGGCCACCATAGCTCTCGTGTCCCTGTCTCTCTCGCTGAAGAAGACGTACACCTTGTCGTCATCGCCGTCCTCGCTATCCTCACTCTCCCGCACCGCGCCCAGGAACACGAAGTCCGGATCTGACGGGGTTCACCAGGTCACGGGGTCAGGACACGCGGGAGTCAGGAGCGACCTTAATGTCATCGGGGTCACGGGGATCAAGGGGTAGTTTCGGGTCGGCGGTCACAGGTAGGGGTCAAGGATCACGATGGGCGTTGGGGTCAGGTGTGACGGTGGGTCACGGTGGGTGTGTGTGTGTTCGTGTTGCAGGCAGCGGCGGTGCGGTGGTTAGCGCACCGCACCATGAACCCGCGAGTTCGATTCTCAGCCAGGTCGGCTCGGCCTTAAAAGTTAAAACATCGGCACTGGGGAGACAAAGGCGGCCGGGCGTGGTGCTGGCCATGCCCACCCACTCGCTCTCCGTGTCGGCGGAGTACGAGTGGCTGGGCGCCAACAGCGCCTGTCAAGGGCGACCGCAGTGGGATCTTTGTCTTTGTTGTGAGCGCCTCTCACGGCTGAGCCAGTCGTTGAGAAGTTCCGTCTTGAGGGGAGTCCGCCCCCCGAGGGAGCGCGCCACCACGTACTCCGTGCTCAGAAAGTTGTTGGACGTGGCGGTGTAGAGTTCACCATCTGACAGGTGAGGGAGGGAGGGGAGCGCAGGTGAGGGAGGTGAGGGAGGGGAGAGGACACGGGTGAGGGGGGTGAGGGAGGGAGGGGAGAGGGATGCAGGTGAGGATGGAAGCGGTTTGAGGTGATGGCAGAACGATAGGAGAGGGCAGGAGACACACGGGTGAGTGAGGTGAGTGAGGTGAGGTGAGTGAGGTGAGGTGAGTGAGGTGAGGTGAGTGAGGTGAGGTGAGTGAGGTGAGTGAGGTGAGGTGAGTGAGGTGAGTGAGGTGAGGTGAGTGAGGTGAGGTGAGTGAGGTGAGGTGAGTAAGGTGAGTGAGGTGAGGTGAGTGAGGTGAGTGAGGTGAGGTGACTGAGGTGAGGTGAGTGAGGTGAGGTGAGTGAGGTGAGGTGAGTGAGGTGAGTGAGGTGAGTGAGTGAGGTGAGTGAGGCGAGGTGAGTGAGGTGAGGGAGGTGAGGTGAGTGAGGTGAGGTGAGTGAGGTGAGTGAGGTGAGGTGAGTGAGGTGAGGTGAGTGAGGTGAGGTGAGTGAGGTGAGGTGAGTGAGGTGAGGTGAGTGAGGTGAGGTGAGTGAGGTGAGTGAGGTGAGTGAGGTGAGGTGACTGAGGTGAGGTGAGTGAGGTGAGGTGAGTGAGGTGAGGTGAGTGAGGTGAGTGAGGTGAGTGAGTGAGGTGAGTGAGGTGAGGTGAGTGAGGTGAGGGAGGTGAGGTGAGTGAGGTGAGTGAGGTGAGGTGAGTGAGGTGAGTGAGGTGAGTGAGGTGAGGTGAGTGAGGTGAGTGAGGTGAGCGAGGTGAGGTGAGGTGAGTGAGGTGAGTGATGTGAGTGAGGTGAGTGAGGTGAGGTGAGTGAGGTGAGGGAGGTGAGGGAGGTGAGATGAGTGAGGTGAGGTGAGTGAGGTGAGGGAGGTGAGGTGAGTGAGGTGAGGTGAGGTGAGTAAGGTGATTGAGGTGAGAGAGGTGAGGTGAGTGAGGTGAGTGAGGTGAGTAAGGTGAGTAAGGTGATGTGAGTGAGGTGAGTGAGGTGAGCGAGAGTTCAGAGTGAGGGAGATGGAGGTAGGTGAGCTCTGCTGGAATGAGGGCGGGAGGTCAACACAAAGAGAGGGAGCGCACGTGACTCAGACACGAACGAGTGCTGGCTTTGACAATAACAACTTTTACATCAACACAACCATCACCAACATCAACACCATCAACACAACCATCACCAACATCAACACCATCAACACAACCATCACCAACATCAACACCATCAACACAACCATCACCAACATCAACACCATCAACACAACCATCACCAACATCAACACCATCAACACAACCATCACCAACATCAACACCATCAACACAACCATCACCAACATCAACACCATCAACACAACCATCACCAACATCAACACCATCAACACAACCATCACCAACATCAACACCATCAGCACAACCATCACCAACATCAACATCATCAACATGCCATTCACCATCCTCACCATCAACACAACCATCACCAACATCAACACCATCAACACAACCATCACCAACATCAACACCATCAACACAACCATCACCAACATCAACACCATCAACACAACCATCACCAACATCAACACCATCAACATGTCATTCACCATCCTCACCATCAACACAACCATCACCAACATCAACACCATCAACACAACCATCACCAACATCAACACCATCAACACAACCATCACCAACATCAACACCGTCAACACAATCATCACCAACATCAACACCATCAACACAATCATCACCAACATCAACACCATCAACACAACCATCACCAACATCAACACCATCAACACAACCATCACCAACATCAACACCATCAACACAATCATCACCAACATCAACACCATCAACACAATCATCACCAACATCAACACCATCAACACAACCATCACCAACATCAACACAACCATCACCAACATCAACACCATCAACACAACCATCACCAACATCAACACCATCAACACAACCATCACCAACATCAACACCATCAACACAATCATCACCAACATCAACACCATCAACACAACCATCACCAACATCAACACCATCAACACAACCATCACCAACATCAACACCGTCAACACAATCATCACCAACATCAACACCATCAACACAATCATCACCAACATCAACACCATCAACACAACCATCACCAACATCAACACCATCAACACAACCATCACCAACATCAACACCATCAACACAACCATCACCAACATCAACACCATCAACACAATCATCACCAACATCAACACCATCAACACAATCATCACCAACATCAACACCATCAACACAACCATCACCAACATCAACACAACCATCACCAACATCAACACCATCAACACAACCATCACCAACATCAACACCATCAACATGCCATTCACCATCCTCACCATCATCGGAATCGAGTACCCCCTCCAGGTACAGTGAGACTCTCACACCTGCGCGCTACAGTCGGACAAACAACCCCGCACGGCCCCCACCCCGCACGGCCCCCACCCCGCACGGCCCCCACCCCGCACGGCCCCCACCCCGCACGGCCCCCACCCCGCACGGCCCCCACCCCGCACGGCCCCACCCCGCACGGCCCCCTCCTCCTCCACTCGCCCGGAGAAATCCGCGGAAGCGCCGAGCGAGTGCTGAGAAGTGCGGCCTGGGGGTAGCCCCGCCCCCCGCCCCCGCACGGTGAAACCCAAAACTCCGGGGGGAGGGGGGGCCCCGGGCACTTCCCAGCAGCCCAGCACCCTGCGTCAACACGAACACCCGCACGAGACACCGCCACTAGAACTACCCATAGAACTAGCCATAGCACGAGACACAGCCACTAGAACTAGCCATAGCACTAGCCATAGTACTAGCCATAGGAATAGCCATAGCACTATCCATAGCACTAGCCATAGCACTAGCCATAGTACTAGCCATAGCACGAGACATCCACTAGGACTAGCCATAGCACTAGCCATAGTACTAGCCATAGGAATAGCCATAGCACTATCCATAGAACTAGCCATAGAACTAGCCATAGCACTTGCCATAGCACTAGCACTCGCCATAGCACTAGCCATAGAACTAGCCATAGCACTAGCCATAGTACTAGCCATAGTACTAGCCATAGCACTATCCATAGAACTAGCCATAGTACTAGCCATAGCACTAGCCATAGCACTACCACTCGCCATAGCACTAGCCATAGAACTAGCCATAGCACTAGCCATAGCACTAGCACTCGCCATAGCACTAGCCATAGCACTATCCATAGAACTAGCCATAGTACTAGCCATAGCACTATCCATAGAACTAGCCATAGCACTAGCCATATAACTAGCCGTAGCACTAGCCATAGCACTAGCACTCGCCATAGAACTAGCCATAGAACTAGCCATAATACTAGTCATACCACTAGCCATAGTACTAGCCATAGCACTAGCACTAGCCATAGTACTAGTCATAGCACTAGCCATAGCACTAGCCATAGAACTAGCCATAGCACTAGCCATAGAACTAGCCATAGCACTAGCACTCGCCATAGTACTAGCCATAGCACTAGTCATAGAACTAGCCATAGCACCAGCCTTAGCACGAGCCATAGAACTAGCCATAGCACTAGCCATAGCACGAGCCATAGTACTAGTCATAGCACTAGCCATAGTACTAGCCATAGAACTAGCCATAGCACTAGCCTTAGCACGAGCCATAGTACTAGCCATAGCACTAGCCATAGCACTAGCACTCGCCATAGTACTAGCACTTGCCATAGCACTAGTCATAGCACTCGCCATAGCACTAGCCATAGCACTAGTCATAGCACTAGCCATAAAACTAGCCATAGTACTAGCCATAGCACTAGCCATAGCAGTAACCATAGCACTATCCATAGAACTAGCCATAGCACTCGCCATAGTACTAGCCATAGCACTAGCCATAGCACTAGCACTCGCCATAGCACTCGCCATAGTACTAGCCATAGCACTAGCCATAGCACTAGCCATAGCACTAGCACTCGCCATAGCACTAGCCATAGCACTCGCCATAGTACTAGCCATAGCACTAGCCATAGCACTAGCACTCGCCATAGCACTCGCCATAGTACTAGCCATAGCACAAGTCATAGCACTAGCACTATCCATAGAACTAGCCATAGCACTCGCCATAGTACTAGCCATAGCACTAGTTATAGCACTCGCCATAGAACTAGCCATATAACTAGTCATAGCACTAGTCATAGCACTAGCCATAAAACTAGCCATAGCACTCGCCATAGTACTAGCCATAGCACTAGCCATAGCACTAGCCACATAACTAGCCATAGCACGAGCCATAGCACTAGCCATAGCACTAGCCACAAAACTAGCCATAGCACTAGCCATAGCACTAGCCACAGAACTAGCCATAGCACTATCCATAGCACTAGCCATAGCACTAGCCACAGAACTAGCCATAGCACGAGCCATAGCACTAGCCATAGCACTAGCCACAGAACTAGCCATAGCACTAGCCATAGCACTAGCCACAGAACTAGCCACAGAACTAGCCATAGCACTAGCACTAGCCATAGCACTAGCACCAACCCTAGCGCGAGCACCGCGACCGGCCTCTCGCCACTGCACACACGGCTCGTGCTGGCGGGGTGGTGGTCCACGTGTGGTGGTCCACGTGTGGTGGTCCACGTGTGGTGGTACACGTGTGGTGGTACACGTGTGGTGGTACACACGTGTCTGTGGTACACGTGTGGTGGTACACGTGTATCTGTGGTACACGTGTGGTGGTACACACGTGTCTATGGTACACGTGTGGTGGTACACACGTGGTAGTGGTACACGTGTGGTGGTACACGTGTGGTGGTCCACGTGTGTCTGTGGTACACGTGTGTCTGTGGTACACGTGTGTCTGTGGTACACGTGTGTCTGTGGTACACGTGTGGTGGTACACACGTGTCTGTGGTACACACGTGTCTGTGGTACACGTGTGGTGGTACACACGTGTCTGTGGTACACGGGTGTCTGCGGTGCACGTGTGGTATGCGAGTAGTGACACACGCAGGAACTCGGCGGGCAAGTTCCCGCTCGCCACCACCGCAGAGAAACTAAACCCGGGTTCAACTCCCCAGCCCCGCCCCCCACCGCAACCACGACTCGCTGTGGGCAACATCACAACCACCATCACCGCCAGCAGCTTCACCAGAATAACACCATCACCGACATCATCACCATCAACGTCACCACACCACCATCAACCACCACCATCAACGCCACCATCGGCACCAACATCAACACCGCCATCAGCAGCATGAGTAGTGGAAGCAACATCACAATCATCACCATCAGGAGCGCCACAAACGCGACCACTGCCACCCCAGGCTGTGGCTGGCGAGTGTAGCGCAGGCGGTGCAACTGTCCCACGGGCCGTATGGGGCCTAGCGCCCCTTCTACCACCGGCACCGAAGACAAAGATCCCTGGACAGCCTCCACGAGACTGTTGGGGCCAGTGCCGTTAGAGAGCACCAATGAAAGCCGGCACGGCACATGTGGGGGTGTGTGGCCACCACCTCGCCCTGCCGCCTTTGTCTCCCCAGTGCTTTTGAAGATTACGACAGCACCTGACACTCGTTCTAATGCTGGATCCACCTCGGGGAGAGGCCCAGGACTGAGTTCAAACGGTATTCGCCGCTAATGAGCGGGAGTCGAACTGCGGGTAGCCGGGTTCGTAGTGGAGTGCCGATAACCACCACCACCACCGTCACCACAAACCATGCCAACACCGCCACTGTGGACCACACACACACACCATTCCCGCAGCCACCACCAGCACCGCCTCTACCACGTCCAACGTTATGAGCAAAAATGTATCACTTAGCACCACCAGTGTCACTCAATCCCCACCAGTGTCACTCAGCACCACCAGTGTCACTCACTCCCTACCTGTACCACTCAGCACCACCAGTGTCACTCACTCCCCACCTGTACCACTCAGCTCCACCAGTGTCACTCACTCCCTACCTGTACCACTCAGCACCACCAGTGTCACTCACTCCCCATCTGTACCACTCAGCTCCACCAGTGTCACTCACTCCCCATCTGTACCACTCAGCTCCACCAGTGTCACTCACTCCCCATCTGTACCACTCAGCTCCACCAGTGTCACTCACTCCCCACCTGTACCACTCAGCACCACCAGTGTCACTCACTCCCCACCTGAATCACTCAGCACCACCAGTGCCACTCACTCCCCACCTGTGTCACACAGCACCACCAGTGTCACTCACTCCCCACCTGTGTCACTCAGCACCACCAGTGTCACTCAGCTCCACCTGTGTCACTCACTCCCCACCTGTGTCACACAGCACCACCAGTGCCACTCACTCCCCACCTGTGTCACACAGCACCACCAGTGCCACTCACTCCCCACCTGTGTCACACAGCACCACCAGTGTCACTCACTCCCCACCTGTGTCACTCAGCACCACCAGTGTCACACAGCACCACCAGTGTCACTCACTCCCCACCTGAATCACTCAGCACCACCAGTGCCACTCACTCCCCACCTGTGTCACACAGCACCACCAGTGTCACTCACTCCCCACCTGTGTCACTCAGCACCACCAGTGTCACTCAGCACCACCAGTGTCACTCAGCACCACCAGTGTCACTCACTCCCCACCTGTGTCACTCACTCCCCACCTGAATCACTCAGCACCACCAGTGTCACTCACTCCCCACCTGTGTCACTCAGCACCACCAGTGTCACTCACTCCCCACCTGTACCACTCAGCACCACCAGTGTCACTCACTCCCCACCTGTGTCACTCATCACCACCAGTGTCACTCAGCTCCACCTGTGTCACTCAGCACCACCAGTGTCACTCAGCTCCACCAGTGTCACTCACCCAGCACCACCAGTATCACTCAGCACCACCTGTGTCACTCAGCTCCACCAGTGTCACTCAGCTCCACCAGTGTCACTCAGCTCCACCAGTGTCACTCAGCTCCACCAGTGTGACTCAGCTCCACCAGTGTCACTCAGCTCCACCAATGTCACTCAACTCCACCAGTGTCACTCAGCTCCACCTGTGTCAATCAGCTCCACCTGTGTCACTCAGCTCCACCAGTGTCACTCAGCACCACCAGTGTCACTCAGCTCCACCAGTGTCACTCAGCTCCATCAGTGTCACTCAGCTCCACCAGTGTCACTCAGCTCCACCAATGTCACTCAACTCCACCAGTGTCACTCAGCTCCACCTGTGTCACTCAGCTCCACCTGTGTCACTCAGCTCCACCAGTGTCACTCAGCACCACCAGTGTCACTCAGCTCCACCAGTGTCACTCAGCTCCACCAATGTCACTCAACTCCACCAGTGTCACTCAGCTCCACCTGTGTCACTCAGCTCCACCAGTGTCACTCAGCTCCACCAGTGTCACTCAGCTCCACCAGTGTCGCTCAGCTCCACCAGTGTCACTCAGCTCCACCAGTGTCACTCAGCACCACCTGTGTCACTCAGCTCCACCAGTGTCACTCAGCACCACCAGTGTCACTCAGCTCCACCAGTGTCACTCAGCACCACCAGTGTCACTCAGCTCCACCTGTGTCACTCAGCTCCACCAGTGTCACTCAGCTCCACCAGTGTCACTCAGCTCCACCAGTGTCACTCAGTTCCACCACTGTCACTCAGCTCCACCAGTGTCACTCAGCTCCACCAGTGTCACTCAGCTCCACCAGTGTCACTCACCCAGCACCACGGAGGCTGCCCCCTGGCTCCGGCTGTAGGGGCAGCGCCCTCGTCCTGCCTCCATCGCCGGGAGGAGCTGCAGGGGCCTGGGGGTGGTGCGCTGTGGGGCCACGGAGACACACACACAGGGTACACACACACACAGGGTACACACACACACAGGGTACACACACACACACACAGGGTACACATACACACACACACAGGGTACACACACACAGGGTACACACACACATACATAGGGTACACACACACACAGGGTATACACACACACAGGGTACGCACACACACGCACAGGGTACACACACACACAGGGTACACACACACACAGGGTACACACACACAGGGTACACACACACATACATAGGGTATACACACACACGGGGTATACACACACACAGGGTATACACACACACACAGGGTATACACACACACAGGGTATACACACACACAGGGTACACACACACACAGGGTACACACACACACACAGGGTACACACATACACAGGGTACACACACACACAGGGTACACACACACACAGGGTACACATACACACAGGGGTACACACAGGGTACACACACACACAAGGTACACACAGGGTACACACACACAGGGTACACACACACACAGGGTACACACACACACAGGGTATACACACACACAGGGTACACACACACACAGGGTTCACACACATGGTACGCACACAAACAGGGTACACACATACACAGGGTACACACACACACACAGGGTATACACACACACACAGGGTACGCACACACACACACAGGGTACACACACACACAGGGTACACACACAGGGGTACACACAGGGTACACACATACACAGGGTACACACACACACAGGGTACACACACACAGGGTACACACACACAGGGTACACACACACACAGAGGGTAAACACACAGGGGTACACACACACACACACAGGGTACACACATACACAGGGTACACACACACAGGGTACACACACACAGGGTACAGACACACACAGGGTACACACACACAGGGTACAGACACACACAGGGTACACACACACACACAGGGTACACACACACACAGGGTACACATACACACAGGGGTACACATACACACACACAGGGGTACACACGTAGATTCGTGTTGTCAACGGTGATGATGTGGATGATGATGTGGATGATGATGTGGATGATGATGTGGATGATGATGTGGATGATGATGTGGATGATGATGGGACTCACGGTGCATGCGCACTGCGAATTGCAGTGATGGTGACGATTTTGAATCTAGTACTGATTAACTTCTTTCGCACCATACGTAGCCAACTGTGCTAATCAGAGTAGTGATGATGTTGATGATGTTGATGGTGTTAGTGAAGATTGTATTGTTGTTCATGATGAAGATGATGACGATGATGATGGTGATGATGTTGTTGGTAATGCTGGTGATGGTCATGATGGTGATGATGTTGGTAATGCTGGTGATGGTCATGATGATGTTGGTAATGCTGGTGTTGGTCATGATGATGTTGTTAATGCTGGTGATGGTGATGATGATGTTGGTAATGCTGGTGTTGGTCATGATGATGTTGTTAATGCTGGTGTTGGTCATGATGATGTTGTTAATGCTGGTGATGGTCATGATGATGTTGGTAATGCTGGTGATGGTCATGATGATGTTGGTAATGCTGGTGTTGGTGATGATGATGTTGTTAATGCTGGTGATGGTCATGATGATGTTGTCAATGCTGGTGTTGGTCATGATGATGTTGGTAATGCTGGTGTTGGTCATGATGATGTTGTTAATGCTGGTGTTGGTCATGATGATGTTGTTAATGCTGGTGTTGGTCATGATGATGTTGTTAATGCTGGTGATGGTGATGATGATGTTGTTAATGCTGGTGATGGTGATGATGATGTTGTTAATGCTGGTGATGGTGATGATGATGTTGGTAATGCTGGCGTTGGTGATGATGATGTTGTTAATGCTGGTGTTGGTCATGATGATGTTGGTAATGCTGGTGTTGGTGATGATGATGTTGTTAATGCTGGTGATGGTCATGATGATGTTGTTAATGCTGGTGTTGATCATGATGATGTTGGTAATGCTGGTGTTGGTCATGATGATGTTGTTAATGCTGGTGTTGGTCATGATGATGTTGTTAATGCTGGTGTTGGTCATGATGATGTTGTTAATGCTGGTGATGGTGATGATGATGTTGTTAATGCTGGTGATGGTGATGATGATGTTGTTAATGCTGGTGATGGTGATGATGATGTTGGTAATGCTGGTGTTGGTGATGATGATGTTGTTAATGCTGGTGTTGGTCATGATGATGTTGGTAATGCTGGTGTTGGTGATGATGATGTTGTTAATGCTGGTGTTGGTCATGATGATGTTGGTAATGCTGGTGTTGGTCATGATGATGTTGGTAATGCTGGTGTTGGTCATGATGATGTTGTTAATGCTGGTGTTGGTGATGATGATGTTGTTAATGCTGGTGATGATGATGTTGTTAATGCTGGTGATGGTCATGATGGTGATGATGTTGGTAATGCTGGTGATGGTCATGATGATGTTGTTAATGCTGGTGATGGTCATGATGATGTTGTTAATGCTGGTGTTGGTGATGATGGCGATGATGTTGACGAGGGGACTCACGATGTAGATGCACTGGGGGTTGAAGGCGTGTGTGCCGCACGTGAAGAGGTGCGAGTCATTGAGCCGGTGCAGCACGCGGATGTAGTTTGCGCACTCCTGGCGACACAGCGGCAGCATCAAAATCAGCAGCAGCAGCGACATCATCGCACCGCGCAGTAGTGGCCAGGGTAAGATGCCCAAATCGAACCGGCAACCTCTGCAACGAGCGGCAAACACGCTACCGCTGGGCCACGTCACGGTGCTAGATCCCATTGCGTGAGTCCCTCCCTCCCTCATGACCCTGACCCACACCATGACCCACACCATGACCCACACCATGACCCACACCATGACCCACACCATGACCCACACCATGACCCACACCATGACCCACACCATGACCCACACCATGACCCACACCATGACCCACACCATGACCCACACCATGACCCACACCATGACCCACACCATGACCCACACCATGACCCAGACCATGACCCACACCATGACCCACACCATGACCCACACCATGACCCAGACCATGACCCACACCATGACCCACACCATGACCCACACCATGACCCACACCATGACCCACACCATGACCCACACCATGACCCACACCATGACCCACACCATGAGCCTGACCTCCATCATGGGTCCCTTGCTGGAGCATTCCGATTTTTCGGACAGCGACGGAGCCCAGACGATCTGTGGAGACACGCGGGCACCACCCAGTCACTCAGCGGGCACCACCCAGTCACTCAGTGGGCACCACCCAGTCACTCAGTGGGTAGCACCCAGCCACTCAGTGGGCACCACCCAGTCACTCAGCGGGCACCACCCAGCCACTCAGTGGGCACCACCCAGCCACTCAGTGGGCACCACCCAGCCACTCGCCGTTGGGCAGTCGCTCCCTATCCCTCTTCTAGTGCTCTCACGACTGTGGTGGCTGTCTCCCCTGAACTTTACTCACCGATTCCTCCACCCGTCCTGAAGACTCGGGTCGACCGGACGGAACAATTTCGTCTCGTCCACCACCACACCGCAGGTCACAACAACAACAACCGCTATTCACCACTAAGTGGTGGTGACGTCACCAAGACGCTTGTGCCAGGCTATGTGCACCTTGAGGCCACGTGAAGTGTCGAACGCCCGCTGGCAGGAGGTCACGGGGCAGACCCAAGTGCCACGGGTCGACTGACTAAGATGACTGAGATGACTGGCTGATGCACCACCTGTGCCTCCTACTGTGCGAACTTGCTGTGCTTTACCCACCCGGTACTCTGCTCGTTGTTGTGGGCGTCGCTCCTCCGCCCTCCATTGTTGTTGGAGGACGACTGCCTCCAACTGCCCAGTAGCAGCAGCAACGTCCTCCACGAGCCTCCTCCCGGTCACAACAACTCACTCACTCACCCCCTCACTCACTCACCCCCTCACTCACTCACTCACCCCCTCACTCACCCACCTATTCACTTTCACCACACTGCAGGTCATACCAACACACCCACTCACTTACTCACTTACCCACTCACTTTCACCACACTGCAGGTCATACCAACAAACCAACTCACTTACTCACGAACTTACCCACTCACTTTCACGACAATGCAGGTCATAACAACTCACTCACCCCCTCACCCACTCACCCACCGTCTCACTTTCACCTCACCGCAGGTCACCTCACCACTCTCTCTGCTTCGACCCTCACCTCTCCACTCTGCGATCCGCTCTCCCATCGCCGCCGCCGTCTCTCACCCTCCCCCCACCCGCCTCTTGGTACAAATTACCTCGCTCCACTCAATCAAAACAGAGACGGGGGGGGGGGGGGCTGTGCACGTGGCTGTGTGGAGGAGCACGTGGCTGTGTGGGGGAGCACGTGGCTGTGCGAGGGAGCACGTGGCTGTGCGAGGGAGCACGTGGCTGTGCGGGGGAGCACGTGGCTGTGTGGGGGAGCACGTGGCTGTGCGGGGGAGCACGTGGCTGTGTGGGGGAGCACGTGGCTGTGTGGGGGAGCACGTGGCTGTGTGGGGGAGCACGTGGCTGGGTGGGGGAGCACGTGGCTGTGTGGGGGAGCACGTGGCTGTGCGAGGGAGCACGTGGCTGTGTGGGGGAGCACGTGGCTGTGTGGGGGAGCACGTGGCTGTGTGGGGGAGCACGTGGCTGTGCGGGGGAGCACGTGGCTGTGTGGGGGAGCACGTGGCTGTGTGGGGGAGCACGTGGCTGTGTGGGGGAGCACGTGGCTGGGTGGGGGAGCCCGTGGCTGTGTGGGGGAGCACGTGGCTGTGCGAGGGAGCACGTGGCTGTGTGGGGGAGCACGTGGCTGTGTGGGGGAGCACGCACCGGCGGAGCCACGGGGCGGCTCACGTTGCTCGCGTCGAGCACGTGGATGGCGTCCCGCCCGCCCAGCAGCAGCAGCCCCTCCAACTCGAGCAGCTGCGAGGAACCCCCCACAACGGAGGAGTTCCCCCCCACGGAGGGGTCAGTCCACACGAGGACCCCCTTCAGTTCTGGTGAGGGGGTGGAGAGAGAGAGGAGGACAGCGGAGGAGAAGAGGGGGGGGGGGGGGAGGAGGAGGGAGGAGGGTGGGGAGGTTAAAATAATCAAAGTGATGTCCTACATACCTGAGCTAGTGATTGAAATTCCACATTGCTGTGACCGGGACGAGTCCATCCATAGTTGAAACCGCTATTGACTTCCCCGAAAACGTGGTACCGGAGGGATGATTGTTGAGATTTGTGCACTACACGAGGAGGCCGGAGTGAGGGGGGGGGGGTCACGGGTAGTAGGGGTCACGCTTCTTACCTCTCTGAGGAACAGACACGCGAGGTCCAGCAGTTAAGTTGAACTCCGAACCCAGGGTCGCCACGGCCGTGAGAAGCAAGAGGGAGAGGAAGATGGGCCCTCCGTGAGGCCCCATGTGGAGC